AGGGACCTTGCAGAAAGAGAACGTGCCGAATAAAGAAAGATTAGAAAGTGTACATGGCAATAAAGATGGATTAGAAAAAGCATATATTGAAAAAGAACGTATGGCAAAAGAAAAAATAGAAAACAAGGTTCTGAAAAAGAATGATTAGAACGAATTGAAAAAGAAAAATTAGAAAAACAAAGAATAGAAAATGAAAAATTAGAAAGAAAGCGTTCAGAAATGGAGTGCTGTTTTTGTTTTTCCAAAATTAAAGCCACTAAACTATCCCAGTAGACTGCTCTTATTTTGCTACAAATGCATTTCTAAATTGTCAAAGATAATAACTCTTTAGATCTTTAATAATAAAAAGGGACGATGTTATATTTGATTAGGGTGATAAAAATAAATTTTATTTTATTATTTTTATTCTATATGAGTAAAAATAATTTTTTTTTTTTTTTCTAATTATAATAATTGTGTTTTTAATTAATTTGATGATAACCTTTTCTAATAAAAATTCTGCGGAATCCTACTGATGACATAATTATACTTGCTACAACTAAAATTCCACCAAAAATTGCAAAAACTACAACAGGGGCAACTTTTACTATTTGAATTTCTTTAAATTGTGATTTTATGAGATCTACAGTTGAGTTTGAAGGTTGGGCAGTTAGTCCAATTTTAAAAGATGGCATGAATAAACCAGTGTCTGATGGAATATGAATACCAGACCATTTACCATTTGGTTCAAAGTAGTTTGAGTTGTTTGGAAAACCTAAATTAATTTGGAGCTTAAGGTTAAAATAGAGGGCATTACCCGTGATTGGTTCTAAATCTAATGGAATTTGGGCATTCTCCCATGTTTGATTTAAACCTGGAATTAAATTGCCGCTATATTGTGGTGGTACTTCGTACATATCCCAAAGTGAAACGAATAGCGGAAGACCTTTAATACCTGTAAGATTTGCAAAACCTTGAATAGAGCTATTAAACGATGGATCAATTGGGAGGCTGTTGTTTTGTAAATAATATCTTTGAGTATTAATACCTTCAACTTGCGATGGGCCATTTAAAAGAAGTTCAACAGGTCTTAAAATATTTTCTTCAAACATTGTTAATGAATTTGGTATGCCTCCAAGTGGTGGGAATTGGCCAGTTTCTGCAAAGCCGGTAACATTAACTGGTTCACCTTGATTCCAGGCACTTAAAATGGTTTCATTTTGATATTTATAGTATTGATTTGTTTTTGAGGTATCATTTTTACCAGTATATATTGTTGATGGTTTGAAAATAGTATTGTTTAATTGCAATGCACAATTATTATCTATACCCAAAACTTGTAAAAGTGGGTCGTTACAATTCCATAACCAATCGTTAACAGTTTTAGTAACAATTAAACCGCTTGTTGAATAAAATGATTTAATAAAATTTTCTGAATAGCTTTCTGGTAACTATTATAAAATTAAATAAATATTAATATTTTTTGTTTAAAAAGAAATAATAGAATTTTTTTTTACTTACCATACCAAATATATAACTAAATAAAGTTTGTGCATCGTTTGAATTAATATTCCAAACAGTAAAATTTTGATTGCCTGAATACTGTGAAGCAAAATTACCAATACCTTGAATTGATAAAAGTGAGTTTTCATCATTTTCAGAGAATAAATATTTTGATGCATTCATAACTGAAAAAGAAACATTTGAACCTGCTAAAGATGGGATTTCGAATGGAGTTGGCAATGATTTGATCCAATTTGGTGATAAATAATCATTAAAAGCTGAAATCGATTGGTATCCTAAAGGAATAGTTGTGACAAATTGACATAGGCCTAAATAATCCATTGTAGGTATATTGCAAGTCTCTAAAAGTAAACTTTGGGTAAATTGTGGGTTAAACTGATTCATATACCAAGATCTAATGAGGAGTAATTGTGTGATACTAATATTTAATTGATTGGCAAGTGATTGTTGAATACTACTATTAATAGTACTGTTTAACCAAAGGAAGATACCACTTGATAAATTTAAAATGGAGGCAGTGTTGTTTGGGTCCAAAATCATCCTTGCTGATTCTAAACTAATGCCCAGTGGCTGATCAAGACCATAGGATACTAACATATCGGTCCAAATATAGTCATTTTCAATTGGAATACTAGTTGCATTTGCCCATTGTTCAAGGAAATAATCTTGTGGATTGCTTTCATTTAATGACTGAATAATTAAATCATATCTTGATTTAAAGCTAGTTGGTCCATTAAAAAAGTATGCAATTTGGGTGAAATTACTAGTTGAAAGATCTTGAATAAATTGATTCATTTGTGGACCCGAACCTAAAATAAATAATAACTCTTCTGATGAGGCACCAATTTGATTCGCATTATTTTGTAATTGAGATAATAAACCCAAAAATGCTGGATTAATATTGGTGATTTCGATCATATCTGGATCAAATGTTTCATCATCTTGTTGCTGAATATATGATTTCTTATTTACATACTGCACCATATTTCCATTCTCTAAAAAAGTAACATTTGAATAACTCCACAGATACTTGTAATTGAATGGTCCAATTTGATTAAAAATTGGTTTTTCACCATTTAAAAATTCATTTGGGTTTGTCTTTATTAAATAAAAAAAAAATAAAATTAGTTTTAATTCTCTTTTTTTTTTTTTTTAAAAAAAGATAATTATGACTTTTTAACTTACCAAATTCCATGCATAATAATATTGTTTATAATAATTATCAACTGATTGTTGACCTTTCCAATCATTATATCTTGTACTTTTCTAAAATAAAAAAAATAATAAAAAAAAACTTAATATGAAACAAACGAAAGAAATAAACGAGTCATTAAATACTTACCCGTGAATCGACTATAACATTACTTTTAATTGCACTTTCTGTTGCATTTCTTAAAACGGTTGGAAATAACGCAAATGATATAACAAATAATATTATACCAACAATTCCTAAAATAATACCAGATATAAATAATCCTTTTGAATTAGCCATTTTTTTTTTATTTAATTAAAAAAAAAAAATGGTTTATTTTGGGTGATTATATATTTTTGAAATAGTTTTTTTTTTTATTTATTTTATAAATTAAATGTATTTATTATTGTGTATATATAGCATTATATAAAGTATTTATGTTTTAAGTTTTTTTTAAATTATTTAAATATTTAAAAAATTAAAATATATAAAAAAAATAAAAAATAAAAAATTTACAAATTTAAAAAAAAAATTAAAAAAAAAAAAAAAAAAAAAAAATATTAATTTTTTCATCTTTTTTTATCTTTACCTAAATATATTAAGTAAAATTACTATTTATATAAATAAATTAAAATATATTTATTTATATCATAGAATACACATACACACATTTATATATATACTATATACAATTATCAAATTATAAATAGTAATAAAATTAATTTTATTTTTTTCAATGAATAAAATAAATAAATGGATGATGTAATTAGTCTGTTCAATAAAAACTTTAAATTTGATAATAATAATAATAACAACAATAACAATAACAGCAGCAACAACACCAATATTAATAGTAATAATAATGATTGCATTAAATCAATAGAAACCTTAATATCATCTTTGAATAATAACAAGTTTAATATTAGTTCATATAAAAGCTCAGAGATTAAAACACTATTCGCCCTATTAAAGTCACTGCCATTTAATAAAAATGAAGAATATGATGGAACAATACCCAGTGGTAATAATAACAATTACAACAACAGCAATAATATAGAAGATGGTGGTGATATTATATTTGAACAAAAAGAGGAATACAGCGACACTGATTATAGATTATTTTCAACGATAAGAAGAGAAGGTATCGAGTTAATATTTCAAATAATACCAATTGTTTTAGAAAATTCTTTTCATTATGACAGCTCTTTAATCACACCTATTTTATTGTCATGCTGTTCAACAAATAATGATTCTCCAATATCATTTAAACTAATAATTGCTCAAAATATGAATAAACTATTTTATAACTTTTTAATATTTCAAAAATCAAACTATAAATATCTATTACCCTATATGCATGACATTATTCAATATATTTTGTATTCTTTAAAGGTAACTATTTAAATATATCTAATCTTTTATTATACAATATAGGTATTGTTATTTACTTATCAACTATTTCCTTTTTTATAGAACACTATGAATTTAAAAATTCATATTGAAGTTTTAAATTTATTCGAAATGATTTGCAACTATAATGATATTATAACCAATATAGATTTTTTCAACTTTTATTTAAAAAATATTTATCAAGCTTTATTAGAAGGGATTATAATAAAACAGAGTCCCGATAAAGGAGACCAAGGCCAAAAAGAGTTTATTTACGATCAAATACTAGAACCTGAAAATGAATTATCAATAATCAGAAGCAAATGTTTAAATATTTTAAACATAGTTTCAAATTTAAAAATAGACCATAAAAATAATTTAATCCAATTATTATTAGAAATATACAATAGCGATAATAACAATAGTAACAATAGTAATAATACTAGTGAATTTAATGAAACTTCAAAAAAAGAATTGCTTTCCAAATGTTTAAATGAAATAAAATATTTTGATAACAATAGAGAAGAATCACTCAAACTTTTATTTGAAGTTTATTTCATCAATAAAGACAACAATACACCAATCGAATGGATCTATTTTTCAAGTATTTTAGATGGGTTTTCAGTGTACTATTATGAACAATTCAAGATAAACAATACTTCAAGTGAACCCAAATACTTTAATAATATATTTAATAGAATGGATCAATTAATAACAATTTCTAACCCAGTATTTCAAATTTCAGTACTAAATTTTATCGAAACATTAATTAAAATCAATATTTTACCAATTTATACTGTTGTATCAATGTACATTAAAGTGAGTAAATATACGGCACCGCAATACAGAGATAAAATTCAAATCGAAACATTAGCATCATTGACCAAACAACTAGTGATACTTCTAAATAAAGAAAATGGAAATCTCTGCGACGAAAAACAATACGAAACCAAAGTTTTAAATGAAGTTTGGTCAATTTTAATCTCCAATTTCAAAAATGTATCAAACACTTTTTTAAAATATGACTATTTAAAAATATTTTCAATTTTGGTAATATCTAGTCCAGATGAAAGAAATCAAAGCGACCCAATTTTATATGACTTATTTAACACAATTTTATCGGAACTTAATTTCCTGATTGCTGAATATGTACTATTTAAACCAATACTCACTCCATTTCATTTAAATTCATTTATTAATTTATTTTTTTTAAAATTTTAGGAAAATTTTGCAACTAATAAATATAAAACAAAACCAATTTTAAACTGTTTAGATTTTTTAAATAATACTTTAGGATTTGTATCAAATAGAATCGATCTCAATTTAGATAGGAATATCAATCGGCTTTTAATTTTAGGTATGGATAGTTTCAATGATGAAATTGAGTTTCAAGTATTAAGACTATTATCAAATAAATTTCAATGCCATTTGATTCAATGCCCATTCATAGATACAGACCAACTAAAGACATTAATGCAAAAGATTTACAAATTATTGATTGACAAGAGAATATTCATAAACTACTATGCCCACATTGCACTCTCCAATTTAATAAACTCGATGTATGCCCCTCAGATCCAACAATATATTCAAGAGATATTACAACAAATCTCAAACTATTATTTAGAAACATTTTTTAATTCAAGCTCGAATCAAATTTACCAAAATTTTAAATTAAACTATACCTTAATAAACTATTACATCAATAATACCAAATCAACAATATCCCAACACAACAATCATCAACAAAAAGATTTTGATATTTTAAAGAATTTTAAAATAATTATTTCAATTACATTTTCAAGACTATTATTAAACTGCGACTATTATAATACATTTGTATTGAAGCTATTTTCAAACATTTTCGACTCCTGGTGCTCCAATATAAACGATGTGGAAAACGAAAACGATGAAAAGGATCAAGCCGTAATACTGCTACTCGATTTAATTTATAGCGACCCCAATCTAATGTGCTTCAACCCAAACCAAGCCTATAACTTAAGAAAAACAATTCACAAATGGTGCAACTTCACATTCGATAATTCCAACAATAATAACAATATTTTAAAATCCATAAATTTTAAACTCAACCAATCATCAACCAAATTAGTCAATTCTTCACCAGCCATAAAGAATAAATTCAAAAATTTAAAAAACTTAAATTTGTGCGAAAATTTTTTATAGTGGGTTTTGATGAAGTTGACAAAAAGGCAAAATAAAAAAAATAAAATATCTTGATAATAGGTTATTAAATTAATACACCTTAAATTAATTTATAATTTTAAATTTTTAAATTTAAATGGTAAATATCCCAACAAATTCTTTATTTAATTCTTATTATTTTATCAAAATTAAAATTTAGATAAAAATACAATTTATTTATTTTTTTTTTTTTCGTTTTTTTTTTATTTTTAATTTTTTTTAATTTTTTTTTTTTTATAATTTTTTAAATTTTTTTTTATATAAATTCATTTTATTTATTTATTTATTTCCAATAAATATATATAATAATTTTTTTTTTAATTAATTAAATTTAAATTAAAATAAAAATGGCAAGAGGAAAAAAGAAAGGTCAATCATTTGATGATTCAGATGAAGAAATTAATAATAAAAAACAACCAGTTGTTGAATCAGACGATGATGTTCCACAACCTGTAAAGAAAGGTGGAAAACAACAACCAGCAAAGAAAGGTGGCAATAATAAGAAACAACAAGATTCAGAGGATGAACAAGACGATATTCCACAACCAGTTAAAAAAGGTGGTAAACAACCAGCTAATAAAAAAGGTGGTAATAAGAAACAACAAGATTCTGATGATGAACAAGAGGATGAAATTCCACAACCAGTAAAGAAAGGTGGCAAACCACAACCAGCAAAGAAGGGCGGTAATAAGAAACAACAAGAATCTGAAGATGAAGAAGAGGAAGAAGTCCCACAACCAGTAAAGAAAGGTGGTAAACAACAACCAGCTAATAAAAAGGGTGGTAATAAGAAACAACAAGATTCTGAAGATGAACAAGATGACGAAATTCCACAACCAGTAAAGAAAGGTGGCAAACCACAACCAGCAAAGAAGGGTGGTAATAAGAAACAACAAGAATCTGAAGATGAAGAAGAGGAAGAAGAAGAAGTCCCACAACCAGTTAAGAAAGGTGGTAAACAAACAAATAATAAAAAGGGTGGTAAAAAACAAGAATCTGAAGATGAGGAAGAGGAAGAAGAAGTACCACAACCAGTAAAGAAAGGCAAACAATCAAATAACAAGAAAGCTTCCAAGAAACAAGAATCTGAAGATGAAGAAGAAGAGGAAGAAGTCCCACAACCAGTTAAGAAAGGTAAACAATCAAGTGGCAAGAAAGCTGCTAAGAAACAAGAAGAATCTGAAGAAGAAGAAGAGGAAGAAGTACCACAACCAGTTAAAAAAGGTAAACAATCAAATAAAAAAGCAACTAAGAAACAAGAGTCTGAAGATGAAGAAGAAGAAGAGGAAGTACCACAACCAGTAAAGAAAGGCAAACAATCAAAGAAAGGTAAACAAGTTGAAGAAGAACCAGAAGAAGAGGAAGAAGAAGAAGATATCCCAAAACCAACCAAAAAGAGTAATAAAAAAGATAAGAAATCAAAAGGTAAAAAACAAATTGAAGAAGAAGAAGAAGAAGAAGAGGAACCAGAAGAAGAGGAAGTTGAAGAACCAGTTAAAAAGAGTAAGAAGGGTAAAAAATCATCAAAATCATTAGAAGACGATTTATCTGAACTTTCAATCGAATCAAAGAAATCAAAAGGTAAAAAAGGTAAACAGGTTGTAGAAGAGCCTGAAGAAGAGGAAGAAGCTGAAGAAGAAGAAGAGGAAGAAGAAGAAGAAGAAGAAAAGAAACCATTAACATTAGCAGAAGCCAAAGCATTAAAGAAAGCCAAAAAAGCAGGTAAAAAAGATAAAAAGAAAGAAAAAGCAATGAAAAAATTACAAGAAGCCGAAGAAGACGAATTTGAAGCCGCTAAAAAGAAACAACAACAAGAAATTGATTATGATAATATCGATATTGAAGATGTTCCAGGTAGAGAACCACCAGCATATGTTCATTTAAAGACTGGTGAGGGTTTAAGAAGCAAAATTGGTAACGATATTAAATTTGACAATCTTACACTTTCAGTTCCAGGTAAAATTCTTTTACAAAATGCCTCACTCACTTTAGCTTATGGTCAAAAGTATGGTTTTGTTGGTAGAAATGGTATTGGTAAATCAACTCTTGTTAAAAAGATTGCTATGCGTGATGAAATTACAATCGCTCCACATCTTCGTGTATTATACGTAGAACAAGAAGTTACTGGTGACGATAAAACTCCATTACAATGTGTATTATCTGCTGATTTAGAAAGAGACTGGCTCCTTCAAGAAGAAAAAACTTTAATCGAATTAGATAAAGTCAATCCAAACTGGCCATACGACCCACGTGAAAAGAGAAACTACACACTCCGTGATATTTACGATCGTCTTAAAGAAACTGAGGCTGATAAAGCTGCCGTTAGAGCTTCAAACATTTTAGTTGGTTTAGGTTTCACCATGGAAGAACTTGACACCAAAAAGAGTAAAGATTATTCTGGTGGTTGGAGAATGCGTATTGCCCTCGCCCGTGCTTTGTTCTGTAGACCAGAAGTATTATTATTAGATGAACCTTCAAATCATTTAGATTTACACGCCTGTGTTTGGTTAGAAAAATATTTAAATTCTTGGGATCGTACTTTATTAGTTGTATCTCACGAAGCTTCATTCCTCAACGAAGTAGTCGATAATATCATTCATATTCACGATCAACGTTTATCTCAATACAAAGGTAATTATGATGCATTCACCAAGCAAAGAGCTCAAAATCAAAGAACTAAAGAAAAAGCAAAGGATAAGCAAGATACAAAGCTCAAGAAGATGAATGAATTCATTACCAAAAATAAAAACAATACAAATGCTAAACAAGCTGCCTCACGTGAAAGAAAAATGGAAAAAATGGAAAAAATCGAAATTGAAAGAGTAATTATAAAATTATTATACCATTTTACAGTTATTATTTTATATTAACATAATATTTTTTTTTTTAATAAATATAGGAAGAAAACAGTCTTGTTGTATCTTTCCCAGATCCAGAACCACTTACTCCACCATTATTAGTATTTAAACATGTAGATTTTGGTTATGAAAATAAACCATTAATGTTCAAAAATTTAGAGATTGGTGTCGATATGGATTCAAAGGTATATATCATTTAAAATCAATTTAAAATCATTTATTAATCATCATACTAACTATTTATTTTAAAATAAACCCCACAATAAACAGATTGCTCTTGTAGGTTTCAATGGTGTAGGTAAGAGTACACTTATGAAGTTAATGAATGGTGATTTACACGAAACCAATGGTTATATTGAACGTAGCAGAAAATGTCGTGTTGCTAAATTCAGTCAACATTTTGTAGATCAATTAGATGTAAATGTTTCAGCAGTCGAATATTTCCAAACTAAATTCAATAACCCACCAATTCAAAAGATTCGTAATCATCTTGGTAGATTTGGTATCGTTGGATCATTACCACTCCACAAAATCAATACACTTAGTGGTGGTCAAAAGAGTCGTGTTATTTTAGCAGAGTTATCATGGTCAGAACCACACATTCTTTTACTCGATGAACCAACCAATCATCTTGATATCGATGCAATTGAAGCTTTAGCTGATGGTATCAACGAATTTACAGGTGGTGTTGTATTAATTTCTCACAATCAACATTTAATCAACTTAATTGCAGAACAAATTTGGGTTGTTAGAAAAGATGGTACCATTTATCTCTATCCAGGTACATTCATGGACTACAAAGAAGAAATTTCACGTGAAATTGATAATATGGTCATTCGTTCTTAAACAATTATTCGTCACTAATAATAATAATAATAATAATAATAATAATAATTTTTTAAATAAAAATATCTTTTTTTTTAACGCACAAAAAAATATCTTTTTTTTTTTTTTTTTTTTTTTCTAAAAAAACTATATTATAGTCATCCTTTTTCTTTTTTTCTTAAAAAGCTCTAATTAATTATCCATTATTAGTATTTATATATTTTGATAGATCAACAATCGAACAATAAAGATTATATAAGAAATTTAAAAGTGTTAAAAAAGAATTACACTTTTTTTATTTTTTATTTTATTTTTTATTTTTATTTTTTTTAAATTAATTATTTATAAACAATAGCTTTAAAAATAGCTTTAAATATAGTTTTAAAATTTTTATTTTTTTTTAACTATATTAAATATAGATTTTATTTTATGATCTATAAAAAAACACCACAAAATTTTTTTATTCATTATTATTCATTAACTTTTAATTTTGATAGATAGATTACTAATAATTATTTTAACAAATAAAATACATTTTAATAAATATATAAATTATTTTATTTTTTTAAATAATTTTTTTTTTTTTTTTTTGTGTATAAACGATCAAAAATTTTATTTTTTATAAATTTTTTTTTTTTTTTTTTATTTTTATTTTTTTAAATTTTTTGTCATACTGGAAATTTATCTCTATTTTTCTTGTTTGTCGTACTATTCCACATATTAATTTTTTTTTTTTTTTGTGTATTAAAATACAAATAAAAAAGCTCTAAACTTTTAATAAATTATTAAAAGTAATAGTTTTTTTAAAAAAAAAAAAAAGGTTTTAATACTTCAAAAAAAAAAAAAAAAAAAATCATATATATTAATCACATATATTATATATACAAAACAAAATGGATTTAGACCCTTTTTATTACGAGTAATATCAAAACAAATTATTTTTAGCATTGGAGAATAAATGAATAAATAAACATAATATAAAAATAAAATAATATCTTTTTTTTTTTATTTTTTTATTTTTTTATTTTTTCATTATAATGATTATAATGATTATAATAATAATAATAATAATAATATTGAAATGAAAATAATTTATTAATAATGTTTTATTAATATTATAGATTAATGGCAGCAACCAATACAACAACCAATACAACAGGATGTATTAATGTTAATGGTAATATGTTTTTAAATAAATGTTGGAGAAATACAGAGAGTGTTTTACCATTGATGGCAAATTTCATTATGCAATTTGTAAACCCAAGAACAGTTGCATACACAACCACAAGTATTCTCTTCCTTCTTCCAGCAATCCTTTTACTCAGTAATTCACCATCAGTTTACCCAGTTCTTAAAAATAAATACACTCAACTTAGAGTTGTTTTAATTCACATGCTTCACAGAGCATCATACCCACTCGTATTAGGTGTTGGTTTATATGCAGTATTCAGACAAAGAAGACCATGTTTCTGTGATGGTTCACCAATTGGTAGTATTTATGGTATGCCATCTGGTGACGCTATGGCAGGTGGTATCTTGGCTGCATATTTAATTGATATTGCACCATTTTACCCAATTTTGTAAGTAATTTTAAAAAAACTACTCGGTAAACACAGTGTTAAAAATATTTGGTATTAATTTTTTTTATTTTATTTTATTTTATTTAGATCAAGAGTTTTAGGTGTTTGTTTAATGATTTGTGTTTGTTTTGAAAGAACTATTTTAGGTTATCATACAATTGGTCAAGTCGTTACAGGTACTTCAATTGGTTTTATTCTTCATTTTTATTCAACAAGAGTACCACAATGGTTTTTAGCAGTCGACATTTTAATGCAATGGATTCTTAGTGCCATCGCACTTCAATTAGATCCACATTTAGTTTATTCACCAAATGATCCAAATAATTTATGGGTATGGTTTATTTGGGGTGCATCCTTCCAAGTTTTGGTTTTATTCCTTTTATTCAGAGTAGGTAAAAGCCCATTAGATGGTTGGAGAGTATTAAAACAATCATTAAACAGTATGTCAAAGAGCACTTCAATGAATATTCAAAGTGATTCAGCTGAAGATCATTTATTAGCTTATTCAATTAAACCATCACACGATATGGCCGAATCAGATGAAAGATACAAGAGAAGAATCGTTAAAGATGCAGATATTCCATTCACCACTATTTCTTTTATTGCATTCTTTGCCGTCAACTTTATATCTTTTTGTATGCAACAATGGAATTGGCTCGTACATACTTCATCATCAGCTGAAAGCGGTACACATATGTAAAAGAAAAAGAGAGTTTAAAAAAAAAGTAATAATAACAATATAATAATAATAAATAATATGTAAAAAAAAAAAAAAAAAAAAAAAAAAAAAAAAAAAAAAAAACCCATTTATTTAATATAAAATAATATTTATTTTAATAATACTCCCCAAAATAACAACAACAATAATAATAATAACAATAACAATAATAATAATAACAATATATAATTATAAAATTAATAAACCATAAAAAAATTTATATTTCTTTTTTTATTTTTAATTTATTTTTATTTTTTTATTTTTCATTTTTTAATTTTTTTTACACACCAAAATTTTTTTTTTTTTTTTTGACACTTTTATTTCAATATAATGATGGGTTCAAATTTAATAAAAAAAAAAATTATATTATCAGGATTTGGTAAATTCTGTGGAGTTGAGGATAACCCAAGCTCTCATTTAGTTAGAGATATAGAAAATTATATTAATACTTTAGAAAATAAAAATGTATTACAGCTTTAAAAAAAAACCTTTTGTTTTTTTTAATTAGTAGCACTAATATTTTACATTTATTATAGGAATTAAAGTTTGAAATTGTTAAAAAAGATATTATAGAGGTTTCAGCAGAAGCAACAAACCATTATTTAAAAACATTAGAAAATGTTAATTTAAATAAAGACAATAACCAAAATCCATTTTTATTACACTTGGGTGTATCTTCAAGTGAATTGTCAAATCGTTTAGAGATGTATGGTTGGAATATGGCAGATTTTAGATGTAAGGATGAGCGTGGTTGGATGCCATCTAAGGAGCTTATTGATCAAGATGATTCAAACGAAAAATATGAAACCCAGTTACCAATTTTAGAGTTTACAAATCAACTTTCATCATTAAATTATAAAGTAAAAGAATCTGATGATCCTGGTAGATTTCTTTGTAATTATATTTAGTATGTATTTATAGTATTGTACGATATAATATATTTCTTTTTATATACTAACATAGAATTTTTATTTATAGCTTTTTATCATTAAAATTATCAAAACAATATAAAACAGATTCTTTATTTTTACACATACCAGAATTTAAAACAATTGACAAGAATTCACAATTAAAGTTTTTAGTAGATTTAATGAATCTAATTGCAGTTGAAAAATTAAAATAAATAATATAAATTTCAAAAAAAAAAAAAAAAAAAAGATTTTATTATTTAAATATTATAGATTTTTTGTTGTGGATAAAACCATAAAATGATAATATTATCATAGGTAAAATAGGGTGGAATATAGGGTTATGGTTAAAGATGATACCTTGAATATGGACCAGCATCGATTCTATTATCTCTATTTCTATGTATTAGTAATGACCTACACTATGACGTTATATAGATGTCCAAATGTGAAGATATGTGATGTCATCATTTAAAACCCTTGATATATGCCACCAATATTAAAATAACAAATTAGAGGGTTGTTTCTGAGGTCATATTATTACTTCAAAAATAGTGATTCAGTAATTTGTAATCCTATTAGACTTTTCAAATCATTCAGTTTGAAGGGTAATAAAGATATTGTACATATTGGCCCTCTCAAGATACAAAGAAATTATTATCACAATCTTTTTAAAAAAAATAGAAAAACAAATTATCTTTTTTTATACAAATACAAAATCAGTCAAATTTTTTCTTTTTTTTTTTTTTATTTTTTTATTTTTTTATTTTTTTATTTTTTTATTTTTTTATTATTTTATTATTTTATTATTTTATAACATCCATATGTCACATTCTTTTACAAAATTAGAATTTTGGAACCATTAGAAACCGATATTTTTATAAAATTTTTTTAAAAAAAACCTGGTAAAAAGATATTTTTATAAAAAAATATAATTTGATGTCAAATTTTTAGGATTTTCGATTATAATAAAAATAAAGATTAAAACTGGTTAAGAAAATAAAATTTCAAGTATAAAAAAAAAAGTATAAATAGAAAAAAAAAAACTTTATATAAGCATTAAAAAATAAAAAATAAAAACAAATAATAAATATTATATTAACAATAAACTATTTTTTTAATTTATCAATTCTTCTTATCTAAAATGAAATTATTACTATCTTTAATTTTAATTGTTGCCTTATCAATTTCTTTCATCAATGCTTTCAAAATGCCAACCAAAGGCATTAAAGATGTCGACTGTGCTGCCAAGATTTCTAGTTTAAGTGGATATAACACTTGGTTTGATGTAGTATCAGCAAATGGAGTATACCAAAATGGGGACCAAGAGGGACAGGCTTCATTTTTTGAATCTGGTTATATCTCTGTAGACTACGATAACAATCAAGTATATGTAATGTTTGGCCTTAATATCGATGGTAATGATGTCGTAGGTAAAACTTGGTTATTTTCAAAAAATGTAATTATAAAAATTTTTAATTTAAAAAAAAAAAACAATTTTCTAATATTTTTTTAAAAATAGCAAACCCAATATGTAATAGTCGACAGCCAAACTTGTATTAAAGTTCCATTTACCTCAGGAACTCCAGTAACAAATGAGTTTACTCAAGTTGGTGAAATTAATCTTGGTATGATCAATACCCAAATCCTCCAACCAACAACCTCAGACTCATTAACAATTCAAGAAATTTTTGTTGAAACTCAATATTGTTCACCAATAGCTTCTAAAATTGCCAATGCCCCAAATAAAACACCAGGTTCTACAATAATGAATTTCTACAATTACCAAAACACTGTTGCCCCAGCAGATTTTGTATTACCAGCCGAATGTTCTGATTTAAATTCAATCAAACTCTCATCTCACAAGTTAATTAAACCATACCCAAAATTCTTAAATCAATTGTTTTAAATAACAATTAAAAAAATTATTTAAAATATTAATATTTAATATTTTTTATATTAAAACCCATTAAATAAAATTTAAATTTAATCATTAACGAATTATAATGTTTTTTTCTTTTTAAAAGATATATTTCATTTATTTTTATTATTTTTAATAATTATTATAAAGAAAACGTTCATTATTTATATAATATTAATAATGAAAGTTTGTGAACTGTATATAAAAAATATTATATATATATATAATATTTTTTAAAAAAATAAATGAAAACTTGTCTTTTTTTATTTATTATGTTTATCTAAAAAAAGAAAAAGGAAAAAAAAGAAATTATAATAACTAAAATTTATATTTATTTATTGTATTATATATTTATTAAGTGTTTTGTAAGGGTTTTTGTCTTTTTGGTGGAATTGCTGGTGGTGCGGCTTTTACGGGTGATAAATTTGAAACACTTGGTGGTGGAGTTGATGGACGTGGTGGAGGAGTTTGTAATCTTTGTTCACTTAAATTTTTGTTCATTGTTGGTAAAGGTTTTTTGAAAATGCTACTGCCACTACCTGATAAAACTGGGGAGGGTGGAGTTACTATTGGTACTAAGGTAGAGTTAGATCTTTTAAGTAATGGATCTACAAAATCATTACCACTTGAAATTGATATTGAGTGGAGAATTTGACTTGGTTTTGGAATAGTTGCTTTCTTTTTAAAAGAAAATGTAAAAGAATCGAATAGTTGTTTAGATGAGAATTGTTTTGAAACTTTGAATGATTTAGTGGATGTAGAGACGCTAGATTTACCACCATTGGTGTAGTTTGAATCTATAATTTTTTTCATTTTTGGATTTAATTCGGTGCTTGTTGAAGATGGAACAGCATAGAGATAGGTGTTGATAAGATAAAGTGAAGTATATACATTATTGATGATATCTTGATCGGTGTGTAAACCAAATGTACCATAATAGGATGATTCAATACCATTCTTATTGTATGGTTTGAGGAAATCGAATGAACCTAATAATGAACCTGGTGGAATATTTTGTAAAATGAATGGAATTGATTTTTGAGCCTCCTCTCTTGTGGCGGCACAGGTTGATCTTTGAGAGAGGTCAATCATTAATTGGGTATAATCTACAAGTACATGGGATTGAATATTTGTAACTGAGGAGTTAAGACTGGCATATTTAGATAGTAATTCATTGATAAAGAATAAAAGGAAAGATGTATCCTCTTCTTTACCACCAACCTCTACTAATGATTTGGCCATATCATTTACAGTTGAGATTAAGTTGCTTATTAAATCATTGCTATCTGGGAATTGCTCGATAAATTCTAAACATAAAGCACTAGCCAAGTCTTTTGTTGCATTGGGTGGTAATGGAGAAGAGCCAGGAGTTTTGGAAACACTATAGTGATAGTGTGAATAAAGTAGTGGAAGCATTTTAGATACCGGAGTGCTAATTGGAGCTTCAAAAAGATACTCTACAAAATCTTTAGTATTTGGATCTTCTGGGGACATGGTAACCATAACAGAGGCTGCTAACATTAAAGCACAACAGATGGATGGTGATGGTTTTACTTTCTTTGTATTCTCGAGGAAACGATTGGTTTCTTTTGCAAACCATAATGTAAGAATTGATGTATGTGGATGTCCAATACCACGATTTACGACTTCTTCTGGCTTGAGACCTGCACAAAGAATATCAATCATCTCTTCGGTCATTTTGGAATGAAGAGCAGTATTACCAGTTGATTCTAATGATTGCATGGTTTTATATAAAAGAATTAAAACACCATTAAATTGTTGGAGATGGGAGGTGTGGAGTAAAATTGATGCAAGACGGATAATAATTGCATAAGAGGTATCTGTTAATTGATTTGATTTACTGTTATCACTAACAATTGCTGTTAAGAGTAAAAGAATCTTATAGACAACATCCATTTCGCCATTTAATGTAGCTGACCATAAACCACATGATAAACCGAGTAAACCATCCATACCATCTTTTTTAGAACCAAGGGCAAATCTAATACCACCGTACCAATCGAGAGCAGCCAAGCAAATACTAACTGGTGATGGTCTAACACTAAATAATAATGACATCTTTTCCCAAATTTCCAAAATACTATCACCAAGACCGATCTTTAATACACTGATAAGAGAATTCTTTTCTTTTTCTCTCCAACGACTCCAGTCAGATTCAATAAGTTGTTTGCATTGATCTTTGGTTTCTTTAGAGATTGAAGTTTGTTGAATAATTAAAGATAAAAGGATATTATTTAAAATCTTTTTACTATCGATTGAAGGGCTAATATTGCCTGGACCATAAACAAATAAAATATTAGATAAAAGTAATGGAATTAAATTTGGGATTGTAATAATATCTTGATATTGAAATTCGAATGAAAGGTCATCAAAGAATGCTAAAACTGCTTCTTCAGATTGAATTGATGAAAGCTTATTAAATTTGATAGGATTTTCAGTTTCTTGAGATTCATCTGCTTCATCCAATTGCTGTTGTTGATCTAATTGTTGTTTTTTTTCTAATTCTTCGTGATTTGTTGGTTTTGATTTGATACCACCACTTTTAATTGAATCAACACTAAAATCGACTGGTGATGATGGTAATGGTTCGTAGAATCTTAATGATTTGATCATATAGTTCATAACAAGGGACCAGTGGTTGGTTGATCTACGAGAAATGAAACTCATAATCATTTTAGCGGAATCTCTACTATCAGCCAATGAATATTCGAAGGATGCTTCACTTTCTTGAATCATATGATATTTCTCTTTAAGGAAATCGATAACATATTGGGTAATTTGAAAAGTTTCTTCATTACCATGTTGATCAGCGGAACCAATTAACTCACCCCAAAGAACTTCAATAGAGCTTAGATTTGCTAATGATGATTTCTTTGCCTGAATGGTTAAACTAAATAATGCTTCTAATAATAAAAATGCACTTTTATTTGATAAACCTTCTTTAACAGTTAAAACCCACCAAAAGTTTCTTGTCCATGGAGCCAACAAAGTTAACATTGTTTGTTTATGGTTAAATGGTAATAATTTGAAAAAGTATTCGCACTCTTCGAATAAACCTGGGGTTACCCATGGATATTTTAATGACATTGAATTTGAATATAATAAAGTTGATCTAAGATAAATATGTAATGGTAAATTATTACTAAATACAACTTGGAAATGAGCTTGTAAAGATGTTAATTCTTCTGAGTTTGGCTCTCTCATTGCTAAATCATTTGATAACTGAATTGATAATAATCTTGCTTTTTCATCATTTGAAACCATATGGAATAAACAAAGTAATGCACTTTAAAATTTAATAGAAAAAATTAATATAAATAAAATAAATAAATAAAATAAAATAAATTAATAACTTACAGTCTTTCTGGTGGGCAATTGTGATTCCATTTTAAATAATATTCTGATGAAAAATTTAAAACTAAAGCCCTTAAAAATAATAATGAACCAATTGGGTGGTCTTCATTATCAAAACTTTTTTCTATATACTCATTTAAATGCTTTGGTGATCTTCTTAAAAAGATTGCAAGATTTTCTGAAACACTTTGATAAATGTGTGGTCCCATATTAAATGATTTTTGAAGATATGGAATGATATCTTTTTTAAAATCTGTAAGACAAGCTTCTGAAATTAAAGTATAGATAGATTGATGAATATTTAACTCCATTTCATTTAATAATTCTTCTCTTAAACAATTTTCTGTTAAAATTTGTAAACATTGGAAAATTAATTTTGTATAACTTGCTTTATTTAATGAGATTTCACCCTTTGGTATTGTTGATTTACCTAAATAAATTAATTTTATTAGAATTTGTTTTTTTTTTTGTTTTTTAATAAAATAAATAAAATAAATACATACTATCTAATAATAAGAAATTTTTAAATAATCTGCTTGCATTGTTTTTAACTGGTAATGAAATATCTTTAAAAATTTGGTTGTTTGAAATCCAAAAATAGGTCATTTCTCTTAATGCAACACGAATTGATGGTGTATGATCATACTCTTGTACTGAAAGCTTTTCGACCAATTGACTAACGTAAGTGATAACATGATCTTGGGTATAAAAAACTTCTTTTTTCTTTCTTTTAATGTCTCTTCCTCTTTCTTGTTCAATAAATCTAAATACGGTGTCGTAACATGATGGGTGAAGATAGAATGAAAGATCTGAAATTAATTGACAAAGTTCTTCATTTGTTTTACCTTCTCTCTCTTGGAAATAACAAGTTAATACTTCAGTTAAAAGCTGATCCTCGACTGAACTAAGCTCTGGTTTTTCAACATTTAAACGTAATGATAAAAGAAGAAAAGCTAAATTATTTTTCCATGATGGGTTTTGTTTTGGAGCCCATCTTTTTCTTAATCTAGCCCATGAAAATGAAACTGCATTTTGGAGATCACCTTTATGAATGATTAAAAAGTTGATTAAATCTTGATTAAGAGTTGGAATTAACTGTGTAATATTTGAGAGCTGTTGTTGTGGAATTAATGATTGACACGATGATAATGGAAGATAATCAGCCAAGTATGAGCATTTAAGACTAGCATCAATTTCTCTAAAGATTTCATGTCCAGTTAATGAGATGAAGTTAAATAATTCTGACCAAAGAGGTGTGATCATAGATGATAAAAGATACAATGAAACGCCTTCGCATGTATCTCTAAGATTTTTCCAAGTAGTTTGATCAATACCGGTGGAAGCGGACATCTTTCTTTCATTATTTGGTAAATAGTGAAGATTAATAAACTCTTGCATAATCATACACATATTTTTGACGACTTTGCATAAGCCACTTAATTCTCCATAGTAATTGGTGATATAAGTTAACATTTGTAAAAGAATAGATGGAAAAGTTGTATGAGGTTGATTTGAAAGGTACTTTGTTAAACCCAAAGTTGACATTGTGGCGATATCCAACTCTTGATGCCATGTCCATTTTGTAATTTTATCGGCAATCTCTTTAAGATTTTCATGAGAAACAAATGATGGGAATAAAAGAATAAGATACTTCATTGGAGTGGCTTCACCATCATAGTGGTTGAAAAGTGAATCTAAAACTGACCAAAGAGTTCTATCGTAATATCTAATTTGCTCTGGGAATTCTAAATTTAATCTATAAAGCATTTTGAAAACAATTGATTTGGATTCGAGTGAGAATTCATTATTACTTTTGCCGTTTGGTACAGAGATGATAGATAAAAGATATTTATTTACGACGATACCGAGACTGAATCTACCCATGGCAATTAAAACTTCTAAAATCAATAAAGACTCTGTAGGGGTTGGAGTTGATTTCTTTGGCAAGATAACTGGTAAAATAGTGTCAACTTGGGATTGATAAAAGTTGGCTTTGGATTCAGATTGGAAAAGTGATTTAACATTGTTAAAGAATTGAATTAATGACTCTAAATATGACTTTCTGGTATTCTTTGATGAGGTTTCTTTGAATGAGCTTGACCAAAGAGCTAAAAGATCGCCACCTTTACCAATGAAAAACTCTGGGCTTGAACCAACCATAGCAAAGAGTGTTCTAATACAAATTGGTTTTAATTTACTCTTTTTGGTCCACTTCAAAATCAAATCATAAATCTTTTGAGTGATTGGCCAAAATGGTTCTGGTACATTTTGATAGATAGTGTTACTATTGAACATTTTTGGATAAGCATGGATTAATGTGTAACACATTGATTGAATAAATACAGCTCTAGAAACCTTTTCCATTTCAATAAGAATCTTTGCAAAATACTGTGATGTGGCTTCAATTTGACCGTCTCTATGAAAACCAAACTCCAAGTATTTAGCTGATTTTTGGTAGGTTGAAAACTCTCTATAGAAATCATCAGATTTACCTGATTGGAGCTTATTGATATAAAAGAGAGTTACAGATTCGAGCGAAGCCATTGAAATTACTTGAAGACAACTTGCTGATTTGTATCTGATGGCTGGTGTAAATGTATGTTGTAAAAGCCCAAATAAAAATGTAATAACTTTGGATGGTATAGTTGCAAGTTGTGAATCTTTTTCAATCATTTTTGAATATTTATTTGGTTGGTGTGATGCTAATACCATATAGATTGTATTTAATAAGTGATATAATGGAGTATCTTCTGTAATTTGTTGAAATTCATTGATATTTTTTGAAAAATTAAAATTTGTTGAATTACTATTATTGCTGTTGTTGCTGTTAAAACCAATATCTTGAAAGTGTGAACCACTATTACTCATTGCTGACTCCTCTTGTGATCCTGGTGGAGGTGGGATCAATGCTGATGCACTTGTTAATGAATTTAATGATGATGAAGATAGTTGCTTTTCCAATAATGGCTGTGGTGATAGTGATTGTGTTGATTGTTCAGCTCCATTTGAAGATGTCAAACCTTCTCTTGAATTATTTATTGTACCGCTACTAAGATTAAGAGGATTTGCTGTTGGTATTGGTGTTGTATTAACCGTACCATTGCTAATATTTAACAAAGGAATTGAAATCTCACAGTCAGATTCGATGAACTCTTCTTTAAATGATGGTAATTCTACTTTTTTTAATTGATTTGCAATATTTAAATCATCAAGATATGGATCACACATTTTAATTAAGACCTCGATAACATTGTGAAGTGATTGCTTGGATATTTGAACCAATACATTTGAGAGAACTTCGAGTGAATGAGATACTTGAGTTGATGATAATTGTGATACCTTTTCAACTTGTGGAATAGTAACCAAAAGTCCTTGTCTAATTATAACTTTGTTTTCACCTGCCTTCTTTTTAAGTAAAAGTAACTCAAGTTGTTTATAAATCTCTCTTTGAACATTTTGGCTTATTGCTTGTTGATTTAAATCTCCTGAAAACAATGTATTACTCCTAACGCTAATTCTACTACCAATACTAGCATTACTAATAGTATCGGAATCCATTATTTATTATTATTATTATTATTATTTACTATAATTTTATTTTTATTTTTTACTCAATATTATTTCTATAACTATTACTATATAGACTATGACTGTTGATGTATAGTATAATTTTTTTTTTTATTTTTTTTTTTTTATTTTAAAAAGTTATTATTTTAAAAAAAGTTTTATTATGAATATTTTTTTTGTTTTTACAATGTAATTTTTTTTTTATTATACAAAAATAACTAAATAAATAAAATAATATAATATACAAAAAAAAATATAAATAACAAAATTATTTATATGCTACTAATATTACACATAAATTTATATATATAAAAAATAAAAAACACAACTTAAAAAAAAAAAAAAAAAAAAAAAAAAATTAAAATGAAAAAAATGAAAAAAATGAAAAAAAAATGTCAAAAAAATATTTTTTTTTCAGTTAATAGTTTTTTTTTTTGAAACATTATCATAATAGAACTTAATCGATTGAGATATTTCGGTTTGTTTTTTTTTGTATTAACATTTAAATTAATTGATACCAAATAAAAAATCTATTGTATTTTTTTTTTTTTCAGTATGGATTTTTGTGATCTGTATATGTATGTGAAATATAATTTAATAATTTTAGAACAATAATTCTTCAAAATAAAAAATAAAAAAATAAAAAAAAATAAAAAATAAAAAAAATACTATTTTTTCTATAGAATCCAGAATACAAATAATCATTAATAATAAATATTTAAAAACAATTATATTTTTAAAAAAAAGTGAGCGTTTTTTTTTTAATTTATTTTGGTGTGTGTGTGCCTATGTGTGCTATTTAAAAATATGCCTGAAAAATTAAAAATTTTCAAAATTTTTTTTTTTAAAATTATATTTATTTTTTTAATTTTTTTTTTTTATGTTTATTTTTTATTGTATCTATTTTCTATTTTCCAATATATTCAAAACAAATGTCAGAAGAGCGTAAAGTTGCATTGATTACAGGTATCACAGGTCAAGATGGATCATATTTAACAGAGTTCCTCATTGGAAAAGGTTATACAGTCCATGGTATCATTAGAAGAAGTTCATCATTTAATACCAGTCGTATTGAACATTTATATCAAGATCAACATATAGTCGGAAAAAGTAAATAAACTATAAAATTAATAAATTTATAAAAAAATATTTATAGAAATTTTTATAAATTTTGTAATTTTTTTTTTTTTTTTTTTGATTATTTAAAATTTTGTTTTGATTTTATTTTTTAAATCTAATCTATCCAAATTTAATTAAATTTAAAAACATACTAATAATATTTTTTTTTTAAATATAGAATCATTAACATTACACTATGGTGATTTAACTGATGCTACTGTATGTATTTATAAATAAAGAAAAAAAAAAAAATATTATATTTTATTAATTTAGTTTTTTTAATTTTCAAATTATTTAATTTAAAAATATATATATAGAATTTACTTAGTATTATTTCCAAAGTTAACCCAACAGAAATTTATAATTTAGGTGCACAAAGTCATGTCAAAGTATCATTTGATATGTCAGAATATACAGGTAATGTTGATGGTCTTGGCGCACTTCGTATTTTAGATGCAATTCGTAGTTGTGGTTTAGAAGGCAAGGTTAGATTCTATCAAGCCTCCACATCAGAACTTTATGGTAAAGTCCAAGAGATCCCACAATCAGAAACAACACCATTTTATCCACGTTCTCCATATGCAGTTGCTAAACAATACGCCTATTGGATTGTTGTAAACTATCGTGAAGCTTATAATATGTATGCATGCAATGGTATTCTCTTTAATCACGAGTCACCACGTAGAGGTCCAACCTTTGTAACTAGAAAGATCACTCGTTTCGTTGCCGGTATTGCACTTGGAAAGAAAGAAATTCTTTACCTTGGTAATATTAACGCTAAACGTGATTGGGGTCACGCCAAAGATTATGTCGAAGCCATGTGGTTGATGTTACAACAAGATAAGCCACAAGATTTTGTTATTGCAACCGGTGAAACCCATTCAGTCCGTGAATTTGTCGAGAAATCATTCAGAGAAATCGGCATTGAAATCAAATGGAGAGGAGAGGGCATCAACGAAGAAGGTTACGATGAAAATACAAACACCGTTTATGTTAAAATCGATGAAAAATACTTCCGTCCAACTGAGGTCGATCTTTTATTAGGTAATCCAACTAAAGCCAGAAAAGAATTAAATTGGGAATTAAAAATTTCTTTTGATGAATTAGTCCAAGAAATGGTTGCAAAAGATATTGAATATTTAAAAAATAATGATCAATATAATTAATATTAATAATTAATATCAACACAATCTTTAAAATATTAATTCTAAATAAAATATAAATTTAAAAAATAATAGTTCCACATATAAAAAAAATAAAATAATAATTATTAAATAAACAAATAAACATATAATAAATAGATAAATAAATAAATAGATATAAAGCAGGTAATGTTTTTTTAATAAGTAAGTTAAAATTAAAATTAAAATTAAAATTTAAATTTCTCTTTTTTTTTCTTTTGTGTATTTTTATTGTGTTCTGTGGGATCACTATCACTATGTTGCTGTTTTGTTATTTTTTTATCATTTTCCATTAAAAAGTGTTCAAATTCGTCATTTTCATCATATTTAATTTCTTCAAAACTGTGGTTGTTGTTGTTGGTATTTTGTTTTTTATTGTTGTCTATTTCACCTTCTTTATTTGATTTATTATCTTCATTTTTATTAATGTTGTTTATATTAAAAAATTTTCTCTTTTTCTTTGAATCATCGGTATTATCATCATCATAACCATCTAAATATTGATTTTTTGATTTGTCTTTTAATAACTGATTTATAAGCTCATTGGCTTTTTCATTATCATCTTTATTAGAGTCATTGAAAATGGAGGATATCATTGATTTTAATACTGTTTCTGGTTTTGGTTCTGGCATTTTAAATCCGTCATTATTTGTTGTGGTTGTAGTTGTGGAGGTCGTAGAAGTAGAGGTAGAGGTAGAGGTTGTTGTTTTTTTGTTAATTTGGGGTAATATAAATCCATCGCTATCCTTTTCAACTATATTATCATTGGATCCGCTAGTGCTGCTTGTATTCTTATCCTTGTCGTTGCCAACGCCATTTTCATTATCATTATAGTTATTGATTTCATTATTTTCATCTTTGGAAATTTCATTTACAGATTCATCTTTATTTTTTATTTGTTCATTGCCATTTTTATCAATATTATCACCATTTATGTCATTATTATTATCTTTTCCATTATTACTGTTTTCCATTTTTTCTATATTTAATGATTTTATAAAGTTTAAATATTTAAATATTTTAAAAAAAAAAAAATATAATTTATTATTTTTTTAATTTTTTTTAATTTTTTTTTTTTTAATTTTTTTTTTTTTCACATTTTCTTTTTTTTTATAAAATTTTTTTTTAATTTTTTTTTTTTTTTTCACAAATTTCTTTATTTTATATCATTTTCATTGTTTGATTATATTTATTAAATTTTAAATTAAAATTTAAAATTTTTTTATTTTTATTATTTTTAATAATAATAATTAATAATAACAATAGTAACAATGAATAAATTACCTATTCTTAATTCTTCAAAGTTATATAAAAATGTTTCATTCTCAAGTTCAAAATTATCATTGATCAATACAAATAATAATGTACTTTTATGCAGAAATAATATTTTTTCAAATTCAATTTTAAATTTAACAAATAAAAATTATTCCACACAAAGACCATCACCAAAGAGAACTGCATATTCTGTATGTTGATAAACTAAAATTTTGATCTATTTGCTTTCTAAATGATTAAATTTACTAATTATATTTTTTTTGTACAAAAAAGATTTTTTCAGAATCAGCAAATAATAGTAACAGCACAAATATTAATAATTTTGAAGGTTTAAAAAAAATTAATGATGAAAAAAATGGCGGTAATTTTAATGGAAATTTAGGTTCAACCATTGAACCAATTAGAGTTCAAGTTGTTCAAAGTAGATTTAAAAAGTTTTTAATTATTATAATTGGTGCATTAATTGTTTATTATATATTCTTTAGTCGTGGTAGCAAGGACAAGGGTGGAATTATGTCAATTCTTACAGATAAACCATTCAAATCAATTGTTGAACGTCCAAAAACCACATTCAATGACGTTATTGGAGCAGAGGAGGCTAAGGGTGAGTTACAAGATTTGGTTGATTTCCTTCGTTCTCCATACAAATATTATAGCAAAGGAATTGTTATTCCAAAAGGTATTCTTTTAGTTGGTCCACCAGGTACAGGTAAAACTTTATTAGCCAAATCATTGGCAGGTGAAGCTCAGGTTTCATTTATCACAATCAATGGTTCAGAATTTGAAGAGGCTTTTGTTGGTGTTGGTGCACGTCGTGTTAGAGACCTCTTCCAAACTGCTAGAAAAAATGCTCCATGCATTGTATTTATCGATGAAATTGATTCAGTTGGTGGTAGTCGTTCAAAGAGAGTCAACTATCATCCATCCGAAGCTTTAAATCAATTATTAGTAGAGTTGGATGGTTTCACTGGTAGAGAAGGTGTAATGGTTATTGCCGCTACAAATTATCAAGAAACCTTAGATGCTGCTTTAATCCGTTCTGGTCGTTTCGATCGTATTATTCAAGTACCACTCCCAGATGGCAAAGCCAGAAAGAATATTATCGAACATTATCTCAAAGGCAAAATAGTTTCAGCAAAAGTAGATACCACTACTATTGCTCAATCTACTCCAGGCTTCAGTGGTGCCGATCTTTTCAATCTTGTAAATTGGGCTGCTCTCGATACTATCAAACATAATAAACCAGAAATCTCAATGGAGGCCCTCGAAAATGCAAAAGAAAATTTAATTATGGGCAAAGAAAGACACTCCTATATCATGAGTGACGAAGCTAGAAATATTTGTGCTTATCATGAAGCTGGTCATGCTTTGGTTGCCATTATGACACCAGGTGCTCGTACTGTTCACAAGGCTACTATAATGCCAAGAGGTGATGCTTTGGGTCTTGTATCCATGTTGGATAAGGAAGAGGCATTTGTCACAAAAAAACAATTGTTAGCTCATATGGATGTAGCTATGGGCGGTAGAGCCGCTGAAGAAATTATTTTAGGTAAAGAAAATATTTCACAAGGTGCCAGTAGTGATATTCAAAAGGCAACCCAAATTGCTAAAAGTATGGTATCAAAATATGGTATGTCCGATAAAGTTGGTAATATTTTCATTCAATCAGAAAATAAAATAAGCCCTGCCCAAAGAGAATTGGTTGATTCAGAAGTTAAACACCTTTTAGATGACTCTTACTCAAGAGCTCAAGCACTCTTAAAGAAATACTCAAAAGAACACCATCTTATTGCAAAGGCTTTATTAGAATATGAAACCTTATCATTGGAAGAAATTAAAGATATTATTGCCAGCAAATCTTTGGTAAATAAAAAAAATCGTGAACAATTAATCAAAGAAAGAGAAGAACAAAAAATTAAAAGAGAAAGAGAATTTAGAGCAAGATCCGAAGCTAGTCAACTCATTAATGTCATGAATGCAAAAGCTAAAAATGAAGGACAATTAAATAATAAAGTTGAGGAGTTAATTAAAGCCTATAACTTGGAACAAAATCCTGCTGTTAAAAAAATTATTGAAGAACAAAGACAACAACAACAACAACAGCAACAACAACAACAACAATTACAACAACAATTACAACAAAAGCAACAACTTCAAAATTTACAAAGACAACAAATTCAACAACAACTCCAACAACAACTCCAACATATTCAACAACAACAAATTCAACAACAGCAACAACAACAACAACAACAACAACAACAACAACAACAACAACAGCAACAAAATAGTAACTCTCAATCAATTCCAATCGAAATAAGAAATGATGAAACAAAAGTTAACATAAATACAAATAACAATACCAATAATTCTAAGAATGATAATAAATCAAAATAATAAATATATATTAATTTATAAATATTTAATACATCATACAACCTTTTTTATTTTTTGTTATTATAATTGGGTGGTTTTAAAAATAGATTTTTTTTTTTTTATTATAATAAAATTTTTTAATTTTTTTTTTTTATATTTTTTATTATAAAAACCAAACCAATCAAAAATTTTTTTTTAAAGCTTTCTTAAATTAAAATTTTTTTTTATTTTTAAAAAATTTATTTTGTTTATTATTTGTATTTTTATTTGTATTTTTATTTGTATTTTAATAATATCTATATATATATAATAAAATGATTAAGGCAAATTGGTCAAGTTCCTCAGCATTCAATTTAGAATTAGCTTTAAGCGAAAGTCAAGATTGGATCGAACGTGTTGTCGGGGAAAAATTTAAATATCCAAATGATTTTCAAGAATCATTAAAAGATGGTGTTTTTTTATGTAGACTCATAAACACCATTAAACCAGGATGTGTCAATAAAATTAATAATGCTACAACAGATTTTGCAAAAAGAGAAAATTTACAATTCTTTGTAAAGGCTGCAAAAGTTTTAGGTTTAAGAGATACCCAACTATTCGAATCAAACGATCTTTATGAAAACCATAGAGTTAGAAATGTAATTATGAAAAAAAATAAAAATTAAATCGAAAATTAAACAAAGAAAAAAACACAAATAATCAAATAAATAAATAAACAAATAATATCAATTGTAAATAATAATATGAATTTAAATATTAATATTATAATTAAAATTAAACGAAATTAGGTTGCAATTACTTTATATTGGCTTGGAAGAGCTGCTAGAAGCATCAATACTTATAAAGGTCCACAATTAGATTTATTAAAATTCCAAGGTATGAATTGTTCAGCATGTAAAAAGGCCATTACAGATAATAATTATTTAGCAACAATGACCACTCAATATCACACAAGTTGTTGTAATTGTTGCAATTGTGGTCAAAAGTTGGATCCAAAAAAGAAATTCTATCAAGAAGGTAATAATATGTGGTGTGAAAACTGTATGATTGGTGCTACTAGTATTGGAAGTGGTAATGGACCAAACAAAGGAAAGAATAGTAATAAACATGATAATGACTGTTCAAGCTGTCATGGTTCACTTGAAAAAGGTTACGTCCCAGGTGATGATGGTTCATCTAAATATTGTACTCAATGTATTTGTGATTTATGCCACTCTCCACTAATTGGTAATTTCCAAGTTAAAGATGGTAAAAAGATTTGCGACGATTGCACTTGCAAGAGCTGTGGTAAAGGATTAGAGGATGGATTCTTTGAAGAGGGTATCTCAAAATATTGTGAACCATGTGCCAATAACCGTAAGAAACAACCAGTTCAAAAAGCTGCTCAACATACACATGGGGATCATTGTGATCATGGTAAATCTCATTCACACTCACCAACTAAAATATCACCAACCTCTACTACAAATACCAATTCTAATAAACCAAAAGACAATTGCAAAATATGTAACAAAACATTAGATGGTAAACAAAAGAAAGGTGATGATAGGGATAAGTTTTGTACACCACATGAAAAAGATGGTTGTTGTGGAAAGTGCAACAAAGAAATTAATGGACCAGCTCTTCAGGCATTGGATAAGAATTGGCACCCAGAGTGTTTCTCCTGCGAGAAATGTGATCATAAATTTAAACCAAACGAGCAAATTAAAAAATCATCTAAAGGAAACCCATTATGTGGCCCATGCTCATCAGGTGGTAATAACAAATGTAAAGAATGCAATAAGGATATTGTCGGGAATGGTGTTGAAGGACATGATGGTGTTTATCACAATGGTTGCTTTAAATGTAGATCTTGTGACAAGGTACTCAAAGATTCTTATCAAGAAATCGATAATGAACCATATTGTGACCCATGTGCTAAACAATTAAATCAAGTTTCTCAAGGCAATAAACCACAACAAGGACCATTTATTACCTCAGGTTGGAAAGACACTGACAATTGTGATAGTTGTAAAAAATCTCTTCATGGTGAAGTTGCTAAAACTGGACCAAGTACCTATTACCATAAGGGCTGTTTTAAATGTCAAGGTGCAGCATGTGGTGCAGCATTAATCAATGGTTATTTCCCAAATAATAATAAACCTTATTGCAAACCATGTAGTGACAAGATGAATACTGAAGGAAAATGCGGTGTATGTAGCAAACCAATTGTTGATGGTGCAATTGTAAAAGCAGGAAATATTATCTTCCATAAAGCCTGTTTCAAGTGTACAAAATGCAATACAGTTATTGGTAATGGTACTGCATTAACAAGATTCTCTAAACCATATTGCCATTCTTGCTTTGAAAAAGAAAAACTTCAATGCGCCAAATGCAGAAATCAAATTACAGGTGAAGTTGTACAATGTGATCATAAGGATTATTGTGTTAAGTGTGCACCGGCTCCAACCAACACTGTTACCCATGGTGATAGAATCAGCCATGGCTGGACAATAGATCCAAGATCGGGTAGAAAGAAATTCAATTAAACACAAAAACTTTTTATCAAAAAATAACTCAATAAACTTTTTTATAATAATGATTATTTAATGTAAATCAAAATCAGTTTTAAAAGAAAATTAAATAGTAATAATAATTTTATGATATTTGGTAAAATTTTTTTTTTTTTAAATTATATTATCTAAAATTGATATAAAATAAATTTAAGTTTATTATTTATTTATTCCCATCTTCGGGTGGCGCTATATGCTTTAATAGAGTTGATAATACTTTATATTGGCTGAATTTTTCTGTTCTAAAGGAAAACCCTATTTCTTTATCTAAATTTAGGTTGATTAAATTGTTTAATAAAGATTTACTTTCTATAATCTTTTCGTCTTTTTCTGCAGTACCAGTTTCATGACTAATATCGATAAAAGTTTTGCAGATGATTTTATCGGGTATCTTTTTTCTCTTTTCACTTTTTAATTTTATATTTGTAATTTACTATTTTATAAATCTATTATTATTATATATTAATTTACAACTTTTATTTGAACCAGTTGATGAGCATACCCATGTTAGTGTTGATAATTAATTAATTTTGGTTGATTGCCTTCTTTACTGACATTTATTTGAAAATACCTATCCTTTAAATACTTACAAAATTCGTAAGTCTGGTTTGATGGTAACACTAGCAGTATTTATAATTTGGACGCAAAAGAGTTACTAGTATTATTTTCAAGTTTCACGAGCTTTTTATAAATAACTAATGTTGGTATTAAACAATGCCCAATATATCTCCAGGTTGTTTTTATAATTTTAATATAGCAATTACTTGTTATTATTATTTATTGTATTTACCATGGTTCAATTTTATTTTATGTGTTTTTTGTGTTTGGTAATAAATAAAAAATTTGAAAGAAATTAAAAAAATTTACAAAAAAATTACAAAAATTTTAAAAAGGATCAAGGAAGTGTAGTTGAAAAAGGTATAATATTGTGTAAGAAGTGATATTATGTATAAACCAATACCAAATACCAAATCTAATTAAAAAAAAATAATAAAAATATAAATAAATAAATAAATAAATTAATAAATAAATTAATAGTTGATTATATATCATTTTCATTTTCATTTTCATAGCCTCAACTATTTGAAAAAAATAATAAATATAAATTAATAAATAAATAAGTTAGTATAACTACATTTTCATTTTCTTATATATTCTCTAAATTATTTGAATAGGGGTCCCTTTCTCCCTTTTGGGAAAAAACAGGGTAATAAAACTTTTTATTTTTTAAAAAATTTTTTTTTTTTCCTTTTTTTTTTTTTTTTTTTTTGGTTTTTTTTTTTTTTTTTTTTTTTTTCAATTATACAATTTGTAAAAATTTAATTTAATATTTTTTATAATTTTTAATTTATAATTCAATAAATTTTTCATATTAAATAATTAAAAATTTTTTATATTTTTTATAAATTTTTTAATTTAATTTCAAATATCAGCAAGATTAAACGAAGTATAATAGTTTTTTTTTTTTTTCTAGTATAATAATATTTAATAGTTTATAAAAATGGACCTCAACAGCCCTTATTGACCGTACCGAGCCAATGTCCTTAGATTTTAATGAAGACGAAACCTTTTGTAAATTATTGTTTGGATATGTAGCCGCCCAATCAAATTCATTAATAAGCGAACAATATAATAAAGTCCAAGAAATACTACACCAAATTGACCAAATTGACACACGCAAAATTGATGAAAAATTAGAAGATCAATTTCAATTAAATAAAGCCGCACTCAAAGAGATAGATTTAAAGAACTTTAGTGAAAAAGTTAATAACTACAATAGTAATTATAATTATTTCAAAGCCCTTTCCTCAAACATAAATATTAATAATTATAATATTAATTATAATATTAATATTAATAATAATAATAATAATACCAATAACAATAGCAATAATAATAATAATATTAATATTTATAATAATAATAACAATAATAATAATAATAATAATAATAATAACAATAATAATAATAATAATAATAATAACATTAATAATAATAATCATAATAACAATAATAATAATAATAATAATAATAATAATAATAATAATAATAATAATAATATTAGCATTAATAATAATAATAACAATAATAATAATAATAATATTAATATAAATAATAATAATAATAATAATATTAATATTAATATTAATAATAATGGAGGGGTAAGAAAAAGAAGATTAATCAGAAGAAGAAATTGGTATACTAGTATCGATAATAATAATAACAATAGATATAGCCCATACATGGTACACAGTCACGAATTAAATGAACAATAGAAATTTATTTAAATAAAGTTTTATATTTTTTTTTTGGCGAAACCTTGATTTCTTTTTTATTTATTTTTATTTGTTATAAGTTACATTTATTTTAAAAAATTATTTCATCATTATATAGTGTTGCTATTATTGATATATAGTGTTATTATTATTAACTATTATTTATTCTTTAGCTTCAGGGTGGTAGTGTTATTTTTAGTACGGTGTGATTTATTTGTGGTTGAGCATGAAGTTTTTGAACAACAACATGTCAAATAAATAATTTCCTTTGACTTCTTGCAACATCATTCATCGAAAAACTTAAACCAAAACCAGCACCAATTAACATAGTTTTATGAACAAAGCTTGGATTTCTTACTATATATTTTTAAATATTAAAGATAAAAGTTAGTCGATTGTATATTAAATTTAAAAATATAAATTTGCATTTTGATGCAATGTATTAATCTATAATTTTTTTTTAAAAAAATGGATATAAAGATAATTTTTGAATTCAATTTTTTTTATTTAAAAATTAAAAATTAAAAAATCAAAAATCGTGATCAATTGTGTTTATACAACTGGGTTACGGATTTAGGTGTAATTGTTGATGTGATGATTGTAAATGGTGTTTATACAGCTGGATTATGAGTTTGAGTGTTTATATTGCTCGATTCGGATTTAGGTTCGATTGTTGATGTAATGGTTGTAAAGGTGTTTATACTGCTGGGATATGACTTTGCCTAAATTGTGGTATGATTCTTTTATAATAATTTAAAACATATGATTTGAAGCAAATGGGCTATAATTGTGAAGCATTCTTCACTATTTTGAAATAGGAGTTTAATTGAAGGAATGTGATGGTGGCAGTGAAATAAAAAGTTGTGAACTTTAAAAGAAAATCGTGGCTCTGATTTTTGGTTATGGTTACCCTGAAGATTTTCGTGCTCTTTGTTGAATATTGGATCGAAAAAACCAAATGTTAGATTAGAAACTTTAAACTGAAAACTTATTGATATTGAAAAATATAGAATTTGAATCAAACTAAAAAAGTTTTAAAGTTAAATGTTAGATTCTTTTATATTCAAATAGTATAATCATCAAGTAAATATTTTTATAGTTACCTTATTGAATTATTAGCTGCTATGTTAAACTGGAACATTTAGTATTTTCTTGAATTTTTCTGTAGAACTGAACTGTATGATGCGGTATTTATTATTTAAATGTAGATGTGATTAATTCCTTTGAGAAGCTTTGGATGATTTGGAAAAATGTAATTTATAATGATTTCTTGAAACTTGAATGAATCAATGTAAATAATATATAGTTCTTCATCGATTTCATTTAATGAAACATTGAATAAAGTACGTAAACTATAGTCGCCATTGATTTCATAAAAATTAAAGCACTTTATAAATTTCTAAAATAAAAAAATTTAAATAATAATTACCTTATTGGTTCAACACTAATATTTTAATTTCAATGATTAATTTACATTAATACAGTTATTTATTTTTGTGATTACCTTTTTGGTCAATAAATAGAAAGAAATTAGTTATTTATTTTATTTTTTATATTTTATCTTTTTTTTTTCTAAAATGATATTTACTATTGTTAATTTATTATTATTTTTTACATAATGATAATTAAAAATTGATTTTAGTCATTTATAAATTTTTTTTTTTTTTTTTTTTTTATTTTTTTTTTTATTTTTTTTATTTATATTTATTAAAAATTATAATGATAATGTAAATTATTATAATAAATTTAATAGAAGTTTCCTCCAAATATATTAAAATCTATAGTTCATCTTTGAAAAATAATAAAGTTTTTTTTTAATAATAGTGAAGTTCCCTAATTGGATTTACTTTTTCCTTTTAAAGAAATCATCTGTTTAATTTTTTTTAAAAAAATTTTAACAACCACTATGAATTGGGTGCCACACCCCATTAATTTTTTATAATGATTAAAAAAAAAAAATTTTTAATTTAAAATTTTTAATAAAAACTTTTTATTTCAATTTTATTTTTTTTTTTTAATTTTTAAATTTCATTCCTTAAAGAAATTTTTTTATTTTTTTCCTATATTAATTTATCTGCATACAAATAATAATTTATATTTATTTATTTATTATAACAATCAACACAATAATAATATTTTATAATATCAATAGCTTTTTATATTAATTAAATAATTTTTAGAAATAATCAAATAATAATTTGTAAATCACCTTCCACATCACCATTATTTAATAATAATAATTTAATATAAAATGATTGTTTTTATAGTATTATTTTTACTTCTTTGTATAGTCCTCGGTTTTTTATCCGGTTTTTTACCAGGTTATATTTCATATTTATTTTCAACCAATAATAACAATAGAAATAACACCGGGATCAATTATTTGTACAGATACAACACCTATGTCTACCCACAACAAACTACACCAATTTTTTATACTGCTCCAGTAAATAGAACTCAACCACAACAAAATCAACAACACCACCAACAACAACAACAAGGCTCCCAACAAGGCTCTCAACACCAACAACAAAATCCATTCTCAAGGGCTCAATATTACCATCTCCCATCAAATAACCAAATCTACCCACACTTTTCTACTTCTGATTTAATTATGACAACCGGTCCAAATCAACAACACCCACAACCATCAAATGTTCCACCAGTTTTCAATAATAGAGGCGCCCCAAAACCAACCCGTAGTACCCCAATGAAGAAGAGACCATTGGAGTCTGATGATCAAAATTATATTGGTCACAACATGCGTCCCCTCAAAAAACATAGATTTGAAGACGAGGAGGAAGAAAAAAGGGTAGAAGCAGAAAAAGCTCGTGTGGAAATGGAAAAGAAAGAAATGGAGAGAATGGAAAGAGAGCGTTTAGAAAGAGAACGTGCAGAAAGAGAGCGTTTAGAAAAAGAGAGATTAGAAAGATTAGAAGAAGAAAGATTAGAAGAGGAACGTTTAGAAGAAATAAGACAAGGAAAAGAAAGAGCAAGAAAGGAACTTTTAGAAATAGAACTAGAACTAAAGCAATTACAAGAAGAAGAAGAGCAAGAACAAGAACAAGAACAAGAACAAGAAAATATCGTATGCTCTATATGCTATGATGAAATAGAAGATTCTAAAATGGCAACAATAAATTGTGGCCACAAATTTTGCCATGAATGCATTATTAAATCTTCTAAAATTAAAAAAGAATGCCCATTGTGTAGACAATCAATCCGTTCTATTAAAGTAAGTAATTCATACATTCATATTTATACTTAATAAATAAAAAACATATATTAATTTATTTCTTTATTTAATTGTAGATAAGACGTACAGAATTTAATATCGATTATCCAGGCTATGAATCCGATGATAGATACAATGATGACTCCTTTCTTTCAGGTCACATATTTTATAATAGACGTAATAATTTCAGTACCTTTTGAAATTGATAACAATTAAATTAATAGTTTAAGCACTTTATTCATTGTTTCATTTAAAGAAATAGGTGAAGAGCTATATATTAATTAAATCGTTTAATTCAAAGTTTCATTTTATGAATCGATGGCGATTAAATTAATAGCTTAAGCACTTTATTCATTGTTTCATTAAATGAAATAGGTGAAGAGCTAAATATTAGTTACATTGTTTCAAGAAATTATTACAGTTATCTAAATCATCCAAAGTTTATAAAATTAGCCACGTCTACAGCAAAATAATAAATATGGCATTATACAGTTCAGTTCTACAGAAAATGCAAGAAAAAGTTCAAGCTAATACTAAATGTTCCAGTCCAAAATAGCAGCTAACAATTCAATAAGTTTATAGTTTAAAGTTTCTAATCTAATATTAGGGCTTTTTCGATCCAATATTCAACAAAGTGCACGAAAATCTTCAGGGTAACCATAATCAAAAATCAGAGCCACGCTTCTTAAAGTTCACAACATTTTATTTCGCCGACACCGCCACATTCCAGCAGTATAAACACCTTTTACAACCACCACACCAACAATCGCACCAAAATTCATAAACCAGCAATATAAACACTTTTTATCACGGTTATAAATTTTTTAATTTTTTAAATAAAAAAATTAGTATTTTTTAAATTTTTTTAATTTCATCCAAATTTTTTTATTCCACACAAAAAATACCTCTGCCCCATTCCACTTTTCAACCATTTATGAATAGTAATAGAGGAGGCTATTTAATTGTTGTAGATATTAATTGAGTTTATGCAAATCAATTTATTGCTCATATAATTATTAGAAAAAACCATCAATCAAAATAGGAAATGAATGGAAATAAAGATTTATTAAAATCTGCCTAACTGCCGTTATCAATTGGTTCAAATAAAAGTTGTAAATAAATATATATTAACAATAGATTTATATAAAATAGTCAATAACAAAGATAATAATAATTAAGCACAAAAGTATGTTATAAATAAATATTAGAATTATGAATACACACATCATAATTTGTTTGGTTTCCACCATTTTTTAATTTTTTTAACCCTTTTTTTCTATTTTTTTTTAATCATTTTATACAAAAATTATTTTTATTATATATTTAAAAAATTAAAATAAAATTTTTTTTTTTTAAATTAAAATTTTAATTTTTTTTAATTTTTATTTTTTCATTTTTTTTTTATAAATAAAACAATGATTACAGAGAACTATGGTAATGAAGCGCAAAGTGGAAATAATGAAGATCTTTTAAAATGGGTTGATAAAAAGAGAAAAAAGACACACGATAAAATGCACCCTCAAAACTTTTATCGATATAATCCACCAAATTTCAAAATACTCGCAAATAAGTATCCCTCGTTTGATAAATTGTAAATATTTTAATATTAATATTAATAAATAGCATAATAATGATACCAACAGCAATTTATAATTATTGTTTAGTATAGTTAATAAAACTGAAAAGATTTTTAATATAGATTGGAAAGATCCAAATGCAACAAGAGAATTTACCAGAGTTTTATTAGACCATGATTTTGGTTTAAAGATCGAGTTACCAGAAGACTATTTATGTCCAACTATAACACTTAGATCAAATTATTTATATTGGTTAAACGAAAAACTAAATGATTTGGGTATTGATGTAAATAATGTAGTTAAAGGTATTGATATGTATGTATATTTTTATTACTTTTTAAATAAAGTGCAGTTTACCAACATTGTTTTAATTAGCGGAACAGGTGCATCATGTATATTTCCATTACTAGGTGTTAAATTATTTAAAAATTGGAGTTTTTTAGGATTGGATATCGATGATAGCTCTTTAAAATTTGCAAAAAAGAATATAGAATTAAATTCATTAGAGTCCAAAATATCATTATTTAAAAATGAAAACAAAGAAAAGATATTGTTCAACTATTTTCAAGCAAACCAAGGTGAAGAAAAAAATGAAGAGGTTTTTGATTTTTGTTTATGCAATCCACCATTTTTCAACGATTTAAGTGAAACTAATATAAACCCAAAATCGACATGCACAGGATCAGCAAATGAATTGGTTACAGAGGGTGGAGAGTTTATATTTATTAAAAAGATAATTGAGGAAAGCATTGTTTTAAAATCAAAAATCAAATTCTACAGCTCAATGGTTGGTAGGAAATGTAATTTAAAACCACTATTGGATTTACTAAAGAAAAATTTTGGATTACCCAATTCAAAAATTTTTACAGCAGAATTATCTCAAGGAAATACACATAGATGGGTTATGGGTTGGATAGTAGATGATAGTTTTCAGCCATCAAGTATAAATAATAATAAAAAATTAAATAATAATAATAATAATAATGATAGTAATTACAATAGGAATAGTGATTTTTTAACAAGATTAGAAAGAAGGAAATTTTATAGAGAAGGTTTAATGAAAGAGTTTAATAACGATAGTAGTAATAAAGAAGAAATAATTAATAGTTTAAATAACCATTTTAATAAAAATAAAATAATAATAAATGATAATAGTCGTGAAACTGATACCACAGGAAAAGACGAAAAGATTATAGAATGCAAATCTTTTTTAAACAATTTGGTCAACCAAAATTTAGATGAAGAAATAGAGTTTTCCTTTAGAACAGAAATAAAATACATTCAAAATAAAGTACTATCAATTCTATTAAAGCCTATAGAGCCACCCGAAGATGGGAATAAACAAATAATAAACTCAAATTTATTTTATATCAAAAAATTATTTCAATCAATTTTAGATAATATTAAATAAATTTTTTAACCAAATATTTTTGTAAATATAATTTTTTTTTTTTTTTTTTTTTTTTTTTTACAAACAATGAAAAGTTCAAATAAAATATTATAATTCCCAAATCAAAATATAGATTAAAAAAAATTCCTTTTTTATTATATTAAAAAGTAAAAACAAATCTACATCCCAAATTTATATAAAAAATTATTTCTATAAAAATCATTAAAAAATTGGAAATTAAAAAATTTTAAATTTTAAATAATTTTAATTTTTTTTCATTTTTTTTTTTTAATTTATTAAAGTTTTCAAATCAATCACAATCTTTTGCATATAATATTATTTTTAACATACTATCAACTCATTTTCACACTCTATTCATTATTTTTTTTTTTAAATTATATAAAATGTTAGATATAATAATAATAATTTATTTTTATTTTTTTTTAAAGGAGATATTTAACCCCGACATTAATAATAATAATATTAATAATATTAATAATAATAATAATAACAATATTAATAATATTAATAATAATCATAAAATCTTCAACCAAATCACTGCTCCACCAAATTATCCAGTATGTCAACCACAACAATTACAACAACCACAACAATCACAATCACAACAATCACAACAACCACAACAACCACAACAACCACAAAGATCACAAAGATCACAAAGACCAAAAAGACCACAAAGACCACAAAGACCACAAAGACCATCCCTTCAATCAGAATTAAGAGCTGCCCATCAACGTTTAAAACAACGTTTGAAACTTTATAATTTAAAAAATAAAAGGGTAATCCCAGGGGATGGTAACTGCCAAATGCACTCTCTATCAGATCAACTCTATGGTGACATAAAGCATAGCTCTGAAATCAGAAGTGCTATTGTTCAATGGCTCAAACAAAATAAAAATTTTTATCTCTCAAATGGAGAAACCCTTGGTCAATTTGCAAATGGAAATTGGAAAGTATATTGTAGAAGAATGGAAAGAGATGGTTATTGGGGTGACCATTTAACTTTAGTAGCAGCTGCCGAGATTTTTAAATCAAATATTTCAATTATATCCTCGGTAAATTCTAACAATTACTTAATAGAAATTGCACCAAGTTCAGTCAAAGCCAATAGAACAATTTTGTTATCCCATCACGATTACCATTATGGCTCATTATGTATGAGAAGATAAAAAATACCAAAAATAACTTTTCTAGAGGTAAATAATTTATTTTTTTCACTTTTTTATAATTTCATATTAATTAATTTTTTTTTAATATATTCAGCTTCTTTTTAAATAACAAATACTTTTTTATAACTTAGATGCCAACTTTTTTATTATAGTTTACAAATAGTTTTGTAAAAGGTAAAAATTTAATTTTATTATAAATAAAACCAAAATAAACAAATAAACTAATATTTATTTATATTATAGTATTCATTAGTCATCATCAGCATAAAAGAGTTGGAAATAAACACAAGTAGCGTTTTTAAGAAGAGCAAATTTCAAAGGTATTTAAATCTAGTTCAAGTAATGGGTCCAATAATGTTTCAAATTGCAGTTTAAAAGATGGCACATCCAGCGGCAATGAAGGTTGTAGAGAAAGTCTGAAAAGAAATTGAATTGTAGAAGATATTCCATTTAATTAAATATCTCAATCCCGCAAATATTAAAAATAGATGAAAAGGAAATAGATTATCAAATTAAAAGAATTAGGGATGTGTATAACAAATCAAAATATCCAATATTAGTCATAATAATAATCAAATACACAAATAACCTAAATAATATTAAAAACTAAGATTCAGTATTGACCTTGGTCTTATAAATTTCGGTATTAATATAGTTAATCAATGATTTATAGATAGAAAAGGTATATAAAATAATATTATTATATAGAATTAAACTTAATAATAGTGCACACTTTTTCAGAATTTCATCTATATTTTAAACATAAGCAGCATTGTTAAAGAATGGTAAATAAAAAGCATAAAGCAATTCATGTATGTCAGATGTTAATTCAATTTGTGGTTCAAGTATTTAGTCAAGTGGTTTTTAAATAATGAATAAATGTAATTAGTTCCGATGGGATACATATTTAAAAGAATAAAGCATATTCAAGTTGTGGTTCAAATATTGGTTCAAGTATGGGTTAGATGCTAGTTCAAGTTGTGGTTCTAGTATTTGGCTAAGTGGTGTTTTAAGTTGTGAATAAATGCCGTTAGTTTAAGTGTATATTGCAACAAGAATTATGATTTTAGAAATCATTAAATATCATCTATTTAGCATTTTAAAATTAATAAATATTGGTATTTTTACATGGCAATCCTGCACAGAGCCTTCTTTCATAGTTTTCCCCAAGCGTTCTCTTGATCTTTTTAATTTTTGCCCAAACCAATTTTGGATGTTTGGGTTATAAAATTTTAAAAATATTTTTAAAAAAAAAATTTTAATTAAAATTTTTAAAATATTTTTTTTTTTTTTTTTTTTATATAAAATCGACACAGAGAACTACAATTTACAAACAAATATGTTTTTTTAACAATAAATACTATTCACTATAAGAAGAAATTATTAGGACACTGCCATTTTCAAAAAAAATTAAAAAAAAAAATTAAAAAAATTATTTTATATTTTTTAATTTTTTTTTTTTTTTAGTTTAAATATAATTTTTTATTTTATTTATTTTATATTCTAATAATAGAAATGTCAAATAGAGATGGCTATAGAAGAGATAGGTCACCAACAAAGATTGACAAAGACAGAGATAGGTACAGGGATAGAGATAGAGATCGAGACAGATATAGAGAAAAGGATAACGACAGAGACTACATAAATAGAGATAGATATAGTGATAGAGATGGAGATAGAGATAGAGATAGAAATAGAGAATATAGAAGAGATGGAGATAGATATAGAAGTAGTAATATAGACAGTGAAGATATTGGTAGAGAAAGGGATAGTTATAGTTATAGAGATACTCATATTAGAGGAAGAGAAAGAGATGACTATTACAAAAGGAAAAAAATTGACAAATCACCAACAATACATCCAGAAGTTAATTATTTGGAAGTGATTCCAGATGTACCAGAGAACAAAGAACTCAGAGACTTTATAAAGAAAGGTCCAATTTATGGTGTTCCATTAAAGAATTATAATATATTGCAATGTTGGAGATGCAAAGGCTATGGTCATAAAGCTGCTGATAAAGAGTGCCCAGGCTATTTGCGTGGTAATTCAAATAATGAAAAAGATCGTTTACAAAGAGAAGACCCAATGAACTCAAATTATGATTTTGATAATACTGAAAAAATAAATAATAGTAATGATAACAATAATAATAATAATAATAATAATAATAATAATAACAACAATAATGATATTGTGGATAAAAAATTAGTAAGAAGACAAAATAAACTAAAACAACTTCAAGATTTACTTTTCAGAGCAGAAGAAAATGAAAGAAAAAGGAAGGAAAAAAGGAAAAGAAAAAAAAGAAAATTAAAAAATAAAAAATATAGTGACAGTAGCAGTAGCGATGATAGTAGTGATAGCAGTAGCAGCAGCAGAAGCAGCAGTGATAATAGTAGTAGCGAAAGTGAAAATGATAAATAACGAAAAGACGAATGTGATTAACAGAGATTCATATTACACCAAAAAAAAAAAAAAAAAAAAAAAAAAAAAAAAAGCACAATCATTATCAAAAGCAACAATTATAATAATAATAGTGATAACAAAAATAATAATATTAATTTTAAAAATTAAAAAATTTTATTTTATTTTATTTAATTTTATTTTTTTAACCAGAGATATAAAAAATATCTTAAATATCTAATAAAGATTTTTTATAAAAGTTTTTTTTTTTGTATTATTTTCATACCCCTTTAATTTTTTTTTTTTTTTTTTGAAAAGATTCAGGTTATATTTGCTAGATTATGCAAATATGAGTCACACCTTTACACACACAAACAAAATTCATATCTCATTTTTACAAAAAAAAAAAAAAGAGTAAAAAAAGAGTAAACATTTAACAAAAAAAAAACCTATTATAATAAAATAGATGATTTAATGGGCCAAAAATATATGACAGATGTTGTTTATTTTTTTTTTTTATTTTGTTTTAACTTTTTATTTAAATTATTTTTATTTTCTATGGGAAAAAAGATTCAATTTTTGGATTTTTTTATACAATAATTCATCTTTCACATAAAACATCATAATACACACCACACTAATGTATACATTTGTAGCCTTTTTTTAATTAAAAATATAAATAAATAATAATTATTAAAATTAATAAAAATAAAAAAAAAATGAAAAGGTGGAGCAGTTTATTGCGCCCCATTTTTAAAAATTTTTTTATCGATTTTTTTAATTTTTATTTTTTGTAATGCATGCGGGAAATACCTATTTACCTAGTTCATATGTTTTTTAATAATATATTTTTCTTTTGTTTAATATACACTTAATAGTTTTTTCAGTTATATTTTTTTATATAGTCCTATATCTTAATATATCAAAAAAAAAAAAAAAAAAATTGTAATAATATCAACAATAAAAAAAAAATTATAAAAAAAATAAAAAAAAAATAATATTTGCATGACACAATAACAATAATAATGATAACAAAAACAACAACAATATTAAACCTATAGTTACTCACAATCAATTAAGACTATAGAAATATGGAATTATAATATTTCCCTTTATAAAATAATTTTTAAAAAGGGAAATTTGATTGTAATTTTTTTTTTTTTTTTTTTTTATTTTATTAATTTCTATTTATTTTAATTTTTAATAAATTGTTGTTTTAATATTTATTTCTTCTTCTCTTTTTTTTTTTTATTATATTTTATAAAATAAAATAAACAAATAAATCTCAATATATAAATTATTTTTTTTTTTTTTTTTTTTTATAATTTATTTATTTCTAAATTCCCAATTATAATTTATTTTTATAAATATACCAATTATTTTTTTTATTTATACATTTATTTATTTTATTTATTTATTTTTTTAATTTGGGGTTATTCTTTTTTTTTTATAAAATTATTATCAGATTTTAAAAATTATCATTCACACCCATATAATAGTAGGAGTAGTAATATTAGGGGGGTCATAAAATTAACCAATAAAAGAGTAGTATTAAAGATTTAACAATTATTTCCAAAGTAAATATTAAAATTAATTAAAAGCAAAAGGTAATTGATCGTAGTTTAATTATTTATTAAATCAAAAAAAAAAAAAAAAAGATTAAAATTAAAAATATGAATTCTAATTTGTTTTTTTTTTTTATTTTTAAAAGATTACTAAAAGCTTTCAACAAATAATAAACAAACAATTATTTAAATAATAACAAAACAAAAATCATATAAATAATAAATAATTTTTTTTTTTCAAATATAATTTATATACAATAATAATATAAAAATGACATTTAACAACATAGACGGTAAAGAAAATGACGATATTGCCATCATTGGTTTAGGTTTCAGATTCCCTGGTGGTTCGAGCTCTCCAAACGAATTTTGGAATAATATGATCAACAAGTTTGATGGTATTTCAAAAATCCCAGAGGAAAGATGGTCTAAAACTTTTCATGAACAAGATTATATAAATAATGAATATGGTGGTATCTTAAAAGAGGAGGAGTGGAGACAATTTGATCCATTATTCTTTGGAATTAGTCCAAAAGAAGGTAATTGTTTATTTATTTTTAAAAAATTATTTATATATTAATTTAAACCTATATATTAATAATTTATATTTTTATTATTTTAGCACCATCACTCGATCCACAACAACGTTTGTTAATGATTTCATTATGGGAAGCTTTAGAAGATGCACATATTAAACCTTCTACTCTCCGTGGTTCAGATACTGGTGTTTTTATTGGTATGATGAATTTAGATTATCAACGTTGTCAATTTCGTGATATTACTACAGTTTCACCATATACTGTAACTGGTAATGCTCAATCATTTATTTCAAATCGTCTTAGTTTTAGTTTTGATCTCCGTGGCCCATCGATGACTGTCGATACTGCTTGCTCAAGTTCTTTAAATGCCGTTTATCTTGGTTGTCAAGCTATTGCAACAGGTGATTGCAAAATGGCTGTTGTTGGTGGTGTAAATGGAATTTTTGATCCAACCATCTCAATGAGCTTTAGTGCTTTTGGTATGCTTGGCCACAAGGGTCAATGTCGTTCTTTCGATGCCGATGCTGATGGTTTTATTCGTGGTGAAGGTAAATATAATTTAAAAAAAATTTTTATTTATTAAAAAGATTATTAATAATATTTTTTATAGGTGCTGGTGTTATTATTTTAAAGAAATATTCCGATGCTATTAAAGATGGTGATCGTGTTTATTGTCTTATCAAAGGTGGTAGTTCAAATGTTGATGGTTATAATCAAAAGACCAATATAACAGCTCCATCCAAAAAGGCCCAAAGTGAAAATATCGAAATTGCTCTTAAAAAATCAAATGTAGATCCATCTGAAGTTTATTATATCGAAGCTCATGGTACCGGTACTCCTGTTGGTGATCCAATTGAAATCGAAGCTCTTTCGAATGTTTTTAAATCAAACCACTCCCCAAGTAATCCATTATATATTGGTTCAGTTAAATCAAATATGGGACATCTTGAAAGTGCTGCTGGTATTGCCTCCATGGTTAAATGTGCATTAATGTTAAAACATCGTACTCTTATTCCAAATATTCACTTTGATAAACCAAATCCCCTTATTAATTTTGAAGATTGGAATGTGCGTGTTGTTACAGATGTTCAAAAGTTCCCAGAGGATAAAATTGTTAGAATGGGTGTTAATAGTTTTGGTTTATCAGGTTCAAATTGCCACATGATTTTAGAAGAGGCCCCAATAGTTCAACAACAACAACAACAACAAAAAGAAGAAAATACAAAAGAATTTTTGGTTCCATTTTCAGGTAATACCAAAACTTCTTTAAATAAATTCATCGATACCGTATTAAATAATCAAGAATATAAAAATATTAATTTCAAAGACTTTGTCAAGCATCAATCTATTTCAAGATCAAGTTTAGTCAGCAGAAAAGTTGTAACTGCTTCAAGTTGGGAAGATTTATTGAAAAAAAGAAATGAGGTTAGTACTTCATCTTCTCTTACATCAACAATTTCGACTCCATCTTCATCCACTCCATTAGTTTTCGTTTTTGTTGGTCAAGGTCCTCAATGGAAGGATATGTTAACTAAACTTTATGAAACCGAACCAATTTTCAAACAAGCCGTTGATGACTGTGATAAATTACTTGAAAAATACTTTGGTTACTCAATTCTCGAACAACTTCGTTCACTTGAAAAAGAAGATTCACCAGAAATACACCATCCAAAACTTGCACAACCAAGTATTTTCTTAGTTCAAGTAGGTTTAGTTGCTTTATATAAAGCTTTTAACATTACTCCATCAATTGTCGTTGGTCACAGTTTTGGTGAAGTTACTGCTGCTTTATATTCCGGAGTTATTGATTTAGAAACTGCTGCTAAAATAGTTTACCACAGAAGTACATTACAAAATCTTACTATTGGTAGTGGTAGATTAATGTCAATTGGTATTGGTGATAAAAAATATATTGAATTATGTGGTGCCTCCCATCCAAATATCGAAATTGCATGTTATAATGATCCAAACTCAATTGTAATTACTGGAAGTGAAGAAGAATTAAACCAAGTTAAAAACGAATTATCTGAACAAGGAGTTTTCTGTGCTTTCTTAGGTACACCTTGTTCATTCCACTCATCAAAACAAGAACAAATTAAAGATCAAGTATTTAATGCTCTTTCCGATTTACCAGAATCTTCTGAACCAAAGATCCCATTCTTTTCAACAATTACCGGTAAACAATCGATAGAAAAAGGTTTTTATAATTGTCAATATATCTATGATAATCTCCGTCAACCTGTTAATTTCACTGATGCCATTTCAAATATCTACACATATCTTGAAGAAAATGAAATGAAAAATGCTATTTTTGTTGAAATAGGTCCACATCCAACTCTTGGTTTTTATATTCCAAAATGCAAACCATCATCAAGCTCCATTGCTTCCAGTATTATCGTCTCACCACTTCATAAAAAGAAAGAAGTTATTTCACAAATGAAAATTGCAATCTCAACTCTTTACTGTAATGGTGTTGAAGTTGACTTTTCTGCTCAATTTTTAAATGAAAAACCAAACCATCAATTTAAAGAATCTACTTCAATCTTGCCAAGATACCAATGGGACAATGCAGACTATTGGACTGAACCAACCGAAAGCAAATTAGTTAAAAGAGGTCCATCCAAAAACTCTTTAGGTCATGATAAGTTCAGCGGTAACTCATTATTCGAAACATTTATTGATATCAGAAAACCAGCATACCAATTTTATAAAGGCCATAAAATCAAGGGTAAATACTTGTTCCCAGGTTCTGGTTATATTGACAATATAATTCGTAATTGGCAATCACAAGATATAACAATTTACAATTTAGAATTTAAATCCCCATTCTTTTTAACTGAAGGTATTCAACACCATCTTCAAACAAGTGTAGTATCATCCACCAAAGGTGAATTTAAAGTTGAATTTTTCGTTAAAGATAATAAAGATTCTACTACTTGGACTAAAACCTCAAATGGACGTGTTGGTTTATTCCCACACAACTATTCAAATTCCAAAAGAAATATTCAAGAATTAAAAAAGAGATGCTCCTTTGCAACACTTAACAAATCTGAAGTTTATGGTAAACTTTTATTATTAAATTTACCATATGGACCAACATTCCAAAGAGTAGAGCAATTAGAAATTGGTGACAATGTTTCATTGGCTAAACTTGAAGTTTCCCCATCATCTCATTTAGATAACAGTTTCTTTAATGCATCCATTCTTGATTGTGCACTCCATGGTTTATTGGCTTTAGGTGAAGGTCCCCAAGAAGTTATCTTTGATCGTTTACAAGATTTAAAGGTATACCATTCAAACATTCCAGCCAACCAACCAAGTCATGTTTATGTATTCTCTAAACTTGAAAAAATTGTTGGTAACTCAACACATGGTTCAATTGAAATAATGCTTGAAGATGGTACTTTATTAGTTTCCATAAAACAAGTTAAATCAACCTCCTTACTTCGTATTAAGAAACCATCAATTAAATATCCATCAAAAGATTTATACTCACACAAATGGCAATTAAAAGAATCATCACTCGAGCAACCAAATCAAACATTAATTGACAGTATTGTTTCTGGTGTTGAACATTTAACAAAAGACAAACAATTCAATGATTATTTGGTAAAGAATTTATTCATTTCAATTAAAAATGAATTTAATGAATTTAGTTCCAATGTCTCAAATATCGATGAAGAGTTAACCAAATTATCAATTGACTCAAAGAATACAACATTATTTACAAATATTTTACAAATAGTTAAAAACGAAAATTTAATAGAAGAATCAATTGAGTCTCTTAAAAAATCAGTTTATGACAAATTCAATTCTAAATATTCAAATGAAATAAAATATGTAGAAAAGAAAATAAGAACCATTGTATCAACTCTTAAAAATGCAGATAAAGAACATCTTTCACCAAGTAACCCAAGCTCACCATTAGAATCTCCAAGAAAACAAAAATCCTTAGCCAATCAATCTGGAGAATCTGTATCATGTGATAACTCTGACTCTGAAGAAGTTTCTAATGAATCAAGCCCATTAAATAAATTAAAGCTATTCAATAACCAAAATGAAATCATTTCAAATAATATTCAAACTCTATTCAGACCACTCCTTGCTTCAGAAAATAAATCAATTTATAAAATCATTGACTTTTCAACTCATGATAATACAGATTTAACAATTTCAGTTTTAGAAAAATTAAATAATTTAATTAAATCAAACGGTACCTCTTCACTTATTGAATATACCTTAGCAATTACCAATGAAGCCTCATTAGCCAACACAAACTTAATCAAAGAAATTACTAAACAATATCAAAAATCAATCGAAATCAAATACCGTTCAGTATCATTCTCAAAAGATTTCTCTGAACAAAATATTTTATCTTCAAATTACGACCTTGTTATATCATCTTTTGTTTTAAACAACTCTTTAGATATTAAATCAACTCTTTCAGAATATAACAACATCACATTACCAAATGGCCAACTTTTCTTATTAGAACAACCAAGAGATAACCCCTTATTTGATATCATATTCTCTGAATGCAGTAACACTTCAAATACCATTGACTCAATTAAACAACAACTTTATTACACTGGGTACAATAGAGTAGCTCATTCAAATGATACCTCATCACCATTTGTTTTCCATGCTCAAAAAATGGATATAAATTCAACTCCAATGGTCTTTTCAACAGATAAAACCTCAATAAGCACAAATTATGAAAACTTTATTTTTGTAACTACAAGAGAACAACAAAGTACAAGTTATTTTGAAGAATACAAGTTTAACGCCGAAATTTTTGCAAATAATTATCAAGTTGTTTTTACAGATGAAATTTCTTCAAAACAAAATGTATTTGAAAATCTTAAAGATCAAGATCTTATAATTTTCATAGCCCCACTTGAATCTTTAACTGTTCAAAACTATAAACAAATTACAATGGACTATGTATTGATCAACCAAATTATATTAAAAAATTCATTAAAGTGCAGATTACTTTTAGTCACCTTAGATGCTCAAAATGGTGGCTCCAATTATTTTAACTCATCTTTAATTGGCACATTTAGATACTTTTTGGAATTCCCATCCATAATTTCACATTCCATTGACGTAGATAGAGAATCAATCGATAACTTTGCCTTATTACTCCGTCTCTTTGATACAACAACAATTGGTGATAATGAATTAATTATTAGAAAGAATAAAGTATTTGTTCAAAAGATTTTCAAAGAACCAACTCTTTTGAAGTCCAATTCTTACGAAAAAGACCCAGAAAACATTTTCTTAAATACCAATAGTAATTTAGAATTTACACCAAAAGCTAGAGAAGAAATTCCAAAAGGTCATGTCGAAATTAAAGTTATGGCAACAGGTATTAATTATAAAGATAATCTCTTTTATAGAGGTTTATTACCACAAGAAATTTTCACCAAAGGTGATATCTACTCACCACCATTCGGTCTTGAATGCTCAGGTATTGTAACCCGTGTTTCATCAGATGTTGGTCGTTTCAAAGTCGGTGACAAGGTTGTAGGCTTTGCAAGTCATTCACTTAGCTCACATGTTATTGCCAGTCAAGATAAGATTATTATTAAACCAGAAGGCATTTCATTCGTTGAAGCTGCTGCTGTCTGTGTTGTCTATGCTACCAGTTACTATGCAATTTATCAAATTGGTTCATTTATGACAGATAAAGAATCCATTATGGTTCACTCTGCTACTGGAGGTGTCGGTCTAGCCACTCTTAATATATTGAAATGGAAGAGAAAACAATTGGGTTGTCTTGAAAATGGACCAGCCATCTATGCTACTGTAGGCTCAAAAGAAAAGGTCGAATACCTCAATGATAAATATGGTTCTTTAATTACAAATATTTATAACAGCAGAGATACAGAATTTAGTGATCTCATTATGTCATCAAGTGATGGTGTCGATCTTATTCTCAATACACTTTCAGGTGATTACCTTTCTGCAAATTTCCGTTCACTTTCACAAGTTGGTAGAATTATGGATCTCTCTGTAACACAATTAGTTGAAAACGATGGTCTTGATATTTCTAACTTTAAATACCATGTAGGCTATAACACTGTAGATTTAGAAAGAGCAGCAAAATACAACTCAACAGTTGTTAGAAGTATTCTTACAGAAGTCTTTAGTGCAATAGAAGAAGGATCATTAGAAAACATTCCAATTAAAGTATTCCCAGCAACTGAAGTTAAAACAGCAATTGAATATATTAATGAAAGAGTTCATATTGGTAAAGTTGTTATTGATTTCCAAGATTTCGATGCTACTATTCTTAAACCATTACTTGCAGATAAAGAAAATCCAATTGCATTAAACAAAGTTAAAAAAGATAAAATTATTTTAGACTCACTCAAACAAACAATATTAGTAACAGGTCAAACAGGTATTGCTATTCATATTTTGAAATGGATCATTTCATCAACCAAAGATGTTACAGATTTTATTATCCTATCACGTTCATCAATGAAATGGGAATTACAAAATCTTATAAATCAAACTAAACACAAATATGGTGACAAATTTAGATTCCATTATAAATCAGTAAATGTTGTAGATATTGACGCAACCCGTAGTGCCATTAAAGAAATTTATTCATGTGAAAAATCTCTTTCCCCAATCAAAACAGTTTTCCATTTCGCAACAGTTTATGAATATATTTTACCAGAAGATATTACACAAAAGGTTATCGATAATACCCACGATCCAAAGAGTGTTGGTGCCTATAACCTTCATACCCTAAGTGTCGAATTGAATTGGAATCTCGATAATTTTGTTCTTTTTTCATCAATTGGTGCCATCGTTGGTGGTTCAAAACAATGTGCATACTCGAGTGCAAACTTTGTTTTAGATTCATTAGCTCAATATAGAAAGAGTCAAGGTCTCAACGCAATCTCTGTTAATTGGGGCGCTTTAGATGCAGGTGGTGTAGTAGCTATTGATAAATCAGTATGCCAATTCTTAAAAGGTCAAGGTATTAACTTGGTATCATTATCAAAGATTTTGGGTGGTCTTGATGCCTTCTTCCAAACTGAAAACAATAGCGTTTCAAATGTAATGTTAAGTAACTTTAATATCGAAACTTTATTAAACTCAATTCCACAAATGAAAAGAAAGATGGATCACCTTTTAAACAACTATAAAATTGTTATTTCAACTGAAAATACTTCTGTTGGAGGTGACAGTGTTCAAGATAGAGTTATTGCCACCGTATCCGAACTTTTATCAATTGACCCTTCAAAAATTAATTTAGAAACTCGTTTAAAAGATTATGGTATTGATAGTCTCTTAACTGTACAACTCAAGAACTGGATCGATAAAGAATTTGCCAAAAATCTATTTACTCACTTACAACTTTCATCAAGCAGCATAAACCAAATCATTCAAAGAATAAATGGTAAAAAATAATTTAAAATATAAAATCCCCACTACTTAAAAAATCACTAAATAAAAACTACTACTTTAAAAAAAATTTTAAATCTATTCCTATTTTTAAACTTTGTTTTTTCTTTTTTTTATAAAAAGAAAAAGAAGACAAAAAAAAATTTTACTTCACAATTTTTTGTTTTATTTAAATTTAAACTTAAGATTACTATAATCAATTGAAAAAATAACCCCTCAATGCGGGTTAATTAATGGACCTGAATGAATTATGCAATTTGTGGTTTTTGATTTAAAATAAATGTTCTAGTTGGCAATGAAAAGATAAATAAAATAAAAGAAAAAGAAACTAAGGTTTTTAATTTAAAATTTTACAAGTTTTTATTTAAATTTATACATTAACTAATATTATATACATAATATAATTATTAATTATTTTTTTTGTTATATGAAAAAAATATATTTTCTTTTTAATTTGAGAGCCCTTTCTCAATTTATATATGTGAATCTATTATTATTATATATTGTGTTTGTTTTTAAAAATTAATTTCTAGAATATGATTGATCATCATAGTCAACACTATGACGACGTTGATTGGAATAGTTATGATTATTGCCATTATTATTATTATTGTTATTATTATTATTATTATTATAAAATTGATTATTTGGTAAACTATTTCTTCTTTGATTTGATTCAAATAAATGTTGTTTTTTTGGATTTGAGTTTAAACCATTTCTTTTATCATTTTGGTAATTTTGGTAATGATTATCATCTGAAAAGTATTGGTCATCTGATGAATCTGAAAACTTGGAATTATTATTATTATTATTATTATTATTAAAACAATCTTCTTCATCATCATCAAAATACTCTCTTCTTCTACTATTATTATATTTTGAGAGTTCTGGGTCGGAGTCTGATGAGCTCGAGTCTGAATAATTATTGTTATTGTTTTGATTTTTATTATTATAATGATTATTCCCATTTCCATGATAGCCATTGTTATTATAATTTCCTTTGTCTCTGGATAATGAAAGTGGTGGCGGATTTTGTCTATTTTCATACTCCATATTGTTTCTGAAGAAATTTGCATTATTTTGTTGTTTTACATTTAAACTTTCAAGGATAGGAGTTAAACCAGATGAGCCATTTTTAATTATATTAACAGTATCTTGATATCTAACTGGGGATTTTTCATTTGATTGCTCTTCATCATCATCTTGGGATCTTTTACCATCACTCTTTCTTTTCTTTTCTTGTCTTTTATTTGAGAACCATGTAGTAACAGCACAATATGACATACCAAGACGTTGAGCTAGTTTTTCTTTATCTTCTTTGGTTGGGTAATCATCATTTTCAAAGAATGATTTTAAAATTTCAGCTTGTTCTTTCTTTAATCTAGTTCTTCTCTTTTTTTCTTTTTCATTATTTGGTGAATTTGATCTTGAAACCTTTTGTTGTTGGTTATAATCATCATTATTATTATTATTTTTATTGCTAGCATGTGAACGATGGCTATTATGTTGTTGTGAATAATGAGTTGGTGAAGAACTATAATGATTTGGTGATAAATTTGGACTACCGATTGGGGAATTTCCATTATAATTATTATTATTATAACCATTGCCGTTATTTATATTATTATTACTGTTATTTAAATTAAAATGTTTATTTGGGGAAACTCTGTTTTGTGAATTTTGATGTGGTGATAAAACTGAAGGTGAAGAATCATTAAGTTGGAATGGAGGAACATTTGATGAATTTATTTTTGGTGTAGTATATGTTGATGATGGGCTATTATAAGAGTTTGGTGAATTATTATGTTGATGATATTGCATAATATTTCTATTATTATTATTATTATTATTATTATTATTATTATTCATATTTCTATTGTGTTTTGGTGAGCCTGATGGTGAAACATTACCGCTATTATAATTATTTGGTGATGAAGCAGAATAGTCCACTTCGACTTTGGATTTTTTATTATAGCCATGTGAATTTTGTGGTGATGGTACGGAATGATAGTTTGAATTATTGTAATCTGAAGAATTCATATTGTTGTTATTATTATGATTTTGAATTGGTCTAAATGATGATGATGAATTTAAAAGTGGTGATGATTGAATTGGTGATGATGAAACTGAACGTGGTGAACGAGATGGACTTGAAATTGATGAACTTGGTGAATAAGGAGAATTTTGAACCAATTGATCGCCTAAATTATTTATATGATTATTTATATTGTTATTTATATTATTTATATTTTGTGAATCTTCGCAGTCTTGATGTTTTTGTTGATTGGTAGTTTGTAATAAAGAGCAAATATTCATTATGATTTATTATATTTATATTATAATTATTTTATAATTATTACTTTAAATTATTTTTGGGTTTCTGATTGATATTAATATTAAATTATTTATTGATATAATTAGTTATTTAAATTATTTGATTTTGGAAAAAGGAAATAATAAAAAAAAGAAAAAAATAAATTTATATAAAAATTTAAAAATATAAAAATAAATAAAAAAAATAAAAAATAATTAGTATAGGAGGGATTAATGTTGTTAATTATAGTTTGATTATAAGAAAAGGAATTTTATTTTAATAAATCTAAAATTTATGATATATAAATTCACACAAAAATGTTTAAAAATTGTTTTTACAATTTAAATTAAAGATTTATAAAAACAACAAATAAAAACCATCGAAAGTATATATCTAAAAAATTATTTTAAAAGGTGCTATTTGATTTAAATTTGGAATATTTAACCCCAAGCTATTTTTGATAAAAAAAAAAAAAAGTGTGGGTTTTTGTGTTTATGATGAAAAAAAAAATTTTGGGGGATGAGTGGGTATTATTGTGTGTGTTTTTTTTGTTTTTATTGAAAAAAAAAAAAATGTAAAATGAGAGATTGAAAATAATTTTGAAAAAAAAAAAATAAAGATTTATAATTTTTTTTCAAATAATTTTTTTTAATAGCATATAAAAAATCAAATACTGTTATTATAATAACTAATGTGCAAAAGAAGCGCCATTACAATTTAGTGTTGCAACTCCAATTTATTAATATATGAGAGGTCTATTAACTTTTTTTAGAACATCCAATGAGATATTTTTTGTAAAAAATTGTGTATATTAAAAACA